CAATTGGACAAGAACAAGGAGTTGAGAGGGAGCAAAGTCCAGACCAAGTGCAAGGCATGCTCTAAAAGTTCTGATTCAGATGCTCACAATTCAAAGCACCCTTGTAGCTAATACAAGATTGGTTGAAAAAGCCCCTCCATTCAAAGAAGCCATGCATTACCCTTAGATCCAGTTACAAATACTCTGTATGGGCAGTGGTCCATGAATTGTACCTAGAGCAAATACAGGAGAGGCTTGCAAAAATGAAAGTAGAAGAAGGCAATACCCATGGAAGCAAGCAGATCCAACAGTATCAGAATGCATCTGAAGATATAGCAGACAGGTGGAATGGGTGGGAAGGCCCCACACCAGAGACAAATGCAAGGTGTGATTGTATGAGGTCAACTTCCTGGTCTTCAATTTATCCTGGTTCCCAGGAATGCAGCCAACTATGGATACAAGTATGTCTGAAACTTTGCAATGGAGATGTGGAGGTATTGTGGAATGTGCATAGTGTGTATGGCTGGGTGGAAAAATGAGGAGGGAACTATACAGGCATGCATGTGAGTCCACCATATTCTCCTCTAGGCCTAGGTAAGACTCATGCAATGACAGTATGGGCTTCAATAATGAAATTGTGGATGGAATCCCCTCCAATGGTGTCTGCACACTGAAAGGAAGCTGGCAAGAGTACCCTGGGGAAACATCTGAGGAACCAGGAACACTGCCTGAGCATGATGGTGAGTCACAACCTGAACATGCTCAGAAAGAGACAGCAGCCAAAGCAACAAGGACCAGCAAGGTCGACTCTGTGAAATTGGTGAAAAATGCTGATGGACAGATTTGGATAGGAGAAATCACAGGCCTTAGCTGGGACCAACTACAAAAAATGGTTCGCAGATGCATGACTGCTCACTACCATGAGTGGCCAGAGTATTTAGTGTCCTCAATCTCTGATGAGTGCTATCAGGATTAGCATGTGGAAATCCCTTGTCAGCAGTGCTGTTCAAGAATTTTGGTCATCATCAAGTGGAAATGATAGCAGCCCACCATCTTCCTGAAGGATTTACCTTTGACTGCAACCCAAGTCACATGTGGATGACAACAGCTACCCAGCTGCTGTCCTTTTGGTGCAAGTGACAGGAATCCCATCCAACTGATGTGTTTGGATTTCAGAAATCAATCAATTGATCTGGTGAGCTGCAGCCACCAGTGGATTTGGCACCCCCCCAGGTTCTGAGGCAGCAGAAATACCAAAAGACACCTGCCCCCAAATGCAAAAAGAATCCCAGCAGGAAAAATGTCAAGGGCAAGGGTAAAGTGCAGGAAGAGGGAGTGGCAGATGATAGTGCAGATGATAGCATGGATGACAGTGCAGATGACAGTTTGGATGATCACAGCAAGGCTGAGGTGAGCGATGTTGGAACAGATGGTCCCTCAGCTACAAAGGTGCACCATGTGTGATTTTCATGCATGACAGATCAGCACTAATGCAATTCTGGTCTTCAGGTATCTGGCAGGAGGCGAAACTGTGCCAAGACACCATTCCCTTCCCATTCCCACTCAAATCCCCCACCAGCTGATGGTGCCCATAGTGAGCATGCACCTCCAGCCCATTCAAAGGCCCCAGTGCATCATCATGAAATAAAGTGCCAACTGACTATAATGGGTGGGGAAGCAATGGCCATGATTCCAATGATGAAGCTGATGAAGAAACTTATTTGCCCAGCCTATCCAATTCAAAGAACATGGAAACATCCCTGCATAGTGAGCTTCCTGCTGTAACTTGTATTCACAGCAAACCCTGATCTGCACTCATGGAACAAGTGCACAACTGAACTACAGGACCACTCAGAATATGCATATGAAGATGGATTGGAGAGCATTCCTTTCACTGACCACCCAACTGAGGAGGGGTCAACAAGCAGAAAAAAAGGTGGAAAGCAGAAATCTGCCCTAAAGCACACACCCCCAGGCAAGTTTGGTCATGTTGAATCAGCTGTTATGGCTAACAAGTTTGTGCTGTACATTAAGCAGGCTCTGTCAGAATTGAGTGAGCCAGACATGAATCGATGTCAACCTGGGGCCAAATACTTGTCCAAGTCCAACCATACTGGATCTATGACCACCAATGCAGCATCCACAAATGTGAAACAGGGCATCCCTGGGAGCACCTGGAAGTCACCTTGTGTCAGAAAGGCCCCTGCAAGGCCAGATGCAGATGTTCCATCTCCTGATGAAAAGAGATTGTGCAAGCAAACAGGTAGCAATCAGAAGTGGAAGTAGTTGTCAAATCCCTCAAACAGTCAGAGCAGAAACCTTTTTTGGAACTTGTGTACAGTCTATAGAGGGCTTAGCCTAGTGTGACACATTAGAATACAAGTGTATGGCATGTACAGTAGCTCATGACACCATGGTGGTTGTGAGAGGTGTCTTTGATATCAGAGAGAGAGATAATTAAGTGGGATGGTTGAGCAGGACAATTGAGCAGAAAGCTGAGTGGGACAGGTCTACATATTGGCCATGTGGAAGTGACTGGTAGCTATCTATGTAGGGAGATATTGCTGCTCATCTCCCATGTATTGCTGTTACCCAAAATTTGGCTCTATCTGCCATTGTCCAACCTTGCTTCCCATGGTGTGAATGATATTCTCACCAATGTTCCTACAAGTTTAAATCTTGATTGATCATCGACCTATCAGTGAACCCATCATCATCAAACATGTCCACCAAACAGTCCCACCAAGTTTGTTTCTGTCATCAAAGGTGAGGTTGTCTTCATTGTTGGATCCAGTGACCTAAGCCATCCACAGCTAATGTAAGACCAATCAAGCCAAGGCAATCTAGCCTCCCATGTGAAGCAGTCCAAAAATCTGGATGAAACACTAGTACAATTGTGTGAGTTGTGAGAGCCAACCCCTCCACCAATTGTCTCAAGTGGAAGGGCAGATATGGCAGGGTCAAATATGGATATTGTGGCTGGTGAGTGAACATGATTTCTCTCCAAGCTAAACAACAAACATTCTTTTGCTATAGATGCATGAAAAAGCTTGCTGGATCAGTTCCTGCAGGAAAGGGAGCCAACTGCTCTGGCAGAGGGCAGAATAGTGGCCAGTGAGTTGGCATGATTGCCCTTCAAGCTAACATGAACAAACTAATTTTCTAGTAATAGATCCACATGAAACTTGATGAATTGGTTCCTGAATGAATGGGAACCAACTGCTCCCCCAGTGGATGGTATGAATGTGGATCTACTCAAGCAATTGCTGAATGCATGGGAACCATCAGCACTGCCAGTTACACATGAGAAATTAAACAGGATGGACAGGTCTTCAACACCTGCACAAGATGTTACTATGCAGGTCGATTTTCTGGCAGACTTGCAGAATGTGTGGGAACCATCTCCTCTGCCCATCACCCACAAATCATGAAATCTGAGGGACTGATCTCCTCGACCTGATTCTCTGACTAACCTGCTTGCTCAATTGCAGGATATGAGGGAACCAATGCCTCCCCCACTCATTTCAAATGTACCTGTTGAATCTTTTGATTTGGCAGCAGATGAGGACAATGGTGCAAACCATTTGACTTTTGGCATGCCCAAACGATCAGAGATGAGGGATCTTTTCAAGGAAATATGCAATGGTGAGCATTTATTTGGTTCTATTCATGTGGTTGGTGATATCCATTGATTCTGTAGGTGAACTTCCATCTGCACAGCAATCTCTTCAAATGGAACAATGGGGATTGGCACCTGTTCCACATTGTGATCAAGGTATGGGCATGAGTTTCATCTGATATACCTTTGACATTGATAATTTTAGTCCTGTGTGCCTTACATGCTGCAGTATCTCGCTATTGCAGAAACACCACTTCCAGTGACATGCTGTTCAATCCCACCCCTCGATAGGCACCTTGTGTGGGCTGTGAATGCCATTGCAAGAGAATTGGGCACAGCTGCAAGGGACAAGTATGGTGCAGCCTCTCAGGGCCTTTGACTCATCAATATGCTCGATTTGATGGAAGTCATTTGTTATCCACATTCCACCTTTGAAAATTGTCCTGAGCCATTCATTGCCAGCCAATCACACCCATCTCACCATTCTGTGGTAGAGATGGGTATCCTCTACTTGGTGTGCCAGATTGAGGTGGCCTCTGTACATCTGAAGCAGACTGCCAATATTGTGGGATGGCCCATGCATTGGTTTGCAAACCTAGCAATGGTCTTGGTAGGTTTTACATCAATTTTTCACAATGTGGGACTGATACATAATTCCTTCAGAATCAGCTTAATAGCTTGATTCTGGTGACAGTGTTGCATGCCAGTTATACTCCTCCCCTCCCAGTGTGCTACCATGCATACCTCAGACACCAAGATGATGAGGTTAGCTTCCTGCAATCACATGCAGCTAATTCCCTTAGCACATGTTGCATAATTGACAATATCAGCACCATCATTGTGCATTGGACCCCACACACAGCTGATCCCCATTCCAGCTTTGCATTCCCTTGGTGGCTATATCATTCTGAGGAATATGCAGAGGATTCCCAAAGATTGCAAGCTAAGGGATTGTTTTCTGCAGCCTGGGATTTTTTTAAGGTATGCTGCTTATTCTCATCATTGCAAATAGTTGATGATGGCCCAGGGCTTATGGCCATTGCCTGAGGCACCAGTTGCAGACTGTCTTGATGGCCATATTGAGGAGCAGGTAAACTACTGCATTGAAAATATTCAGAAATATGCCAATGTTGTCAATGGTCAGGGTTGATAAATTGACCATTTCTATGCTAGGTGGTGGGCATTGCATGGGTTGTTGGGCATGCCACTTCAATAGTTTACATGTTTTTGACTGTGGAGTTGGTTGAATATACATTTCTGTGAATGTTGATCATTTATGAGATACTGCCCATTCACATGATGTCTGAACCCCCACCCATCCACACAATGTCTGACAATCTGCCCATCTGCATGATGGCCTGAGTAAATTTTTTTTTTTTTTGCAGTTTATGATGCACACCTGTTAGCTCTGAGTACCCACCCAATCTATGATGTTGAAGCACCTGCCCATTTGCAAAATCTTGGCAACACCACCCATCCAAAGTTTGAGAGCCAGCATATCCTAATAAAATACAAGATTCACATCGCCTACTAAATCTTACATTAAATTTTGCAGCTTCAAATCAACAGTTCTCCAGTTGCAACTGGTCTGGGTAGTAGGTTGTCCATCTACAGTGATTGACACATGGGAATGTGCACCAACTGATGTACATTTGGATGCATGTAGTACACCAGGCATGCTCTGTCACCATCTACAGCTCCCATCCCATGCTCCAATGCTGAACCTGAAAATGCAATGATTGTCCCTGGGTTGTAGTGCAGCTGCAGATTCAATGTTGGAATGACAAAGTCCAAGGGCAGGTAGTCACCCACAGTTACCAGCATGTCATACCATGGATCCTGTCCATTGATATCCCTGTGGTAACAAGTTGCCCAATTCAACATCACAGACATGCTGCTATATGTGGAGCTCCATATCAGCAGTATGGAGCTGATATCTGAATCCACCCACTGTTCTGCCAGTTCACCAAGGCAGATCAATGCTTCCCAGCCATCTGCATACATTCACAGATGGATGACATGCAGGATCACAGATAACAGGGCATTGGTGTTGGACATTTGGTCAACCCATTCCCTTGTAGAAGTGTATTCTGTCCTGGATTTGAGCAGCCATGAGGCTTCCAGGAAGCCATTTTGGGGCTTCAAGACAGATGAGTGCTTTATTCACAAGGAAAGAAATGATCACCCACCCCATGACCCTGTTGAAACCATGCAGGTGACAGGTTGATGGTGCCTTTCAACTCAGCATCATCATGGAAATATGACTTGTCCATCTGCCATGCCTGTGGGGAAGCCTTTATGCTCTCCCACAGTGGTTCCCTCAGGAAGATGAAGGCAGTTCCATATGTTGGCCTGCCATTGCATTAAGTCAGTCAAATATGAGATTCTGCATTCCCTTACCCTTCTTTTTGGGCTGAGAGTGTCTGGAAAATACCAAATGTGGATGGTGCTCGAGTCAGTCACCAGAATGGATGGCTCAGTCACTTGTGTGTATCTCTCAGCAGCTTCTGCATTGCAGGTTTTTCCACCCCAATTTTTCCTGCTGTTGACTGTGGAAAGATGAAAACATCCATCACACCATTATGATGGACTTACTTGGGCAACAAGAGGCCTGTGAGATTACTGACAATATGTGATCTGCTTCACATAACACCAGAAACAGAATTGATATATCTGGAAGGGCATGAGGTCCACTGAATACCTCCTCTTGAAATCTGGCTTTCATGTATGATGCAATGCAGTCTGTTAGTTCCATTTGCCATCCATGGGGGGTTTTAGATGTGTCTTGCATAGTATTCATGCTTGGGGTGGATGAGGTCAGAGTTGTATAGTGGGTGAGCCACTTGCAGCTTGTTGGAAAATTACAGCATGTCAAGATGCTTGCCTCAATATTTTGCTGTGATCTGATCAATATGTTGTGATGCTATATGTGCTATTGGTGTTGGGCCCATCTTATGTAGCGACAGGGGTGGATCTTACTAGACAGACCTGTCCTTGTTTTATGGCAATATACAAGATATTACTGAAGGGCCTGTCCATACATTATGACCATATAAATAATACTGCTGAAGGGCCCATCCTTATGTTGTGACTGCATAAATGATACTGCTGAAGGGCCCTTCCATATGTTGTGACACTATAAATGATATTACTGATGGGCCCATCTGTATGTTGTGACAGGGGTGCATCTTACTTGATGGTAAGGATTGGTAAGGATTAGCAAGCCAAAAAGTGAAGAATCAGTAGGCAAAGTCAAAAGATTGGTAAGTATTGGCAATAGGTGAGTCAAAGACAGTCAGAATGTCAAAGTATGAGTCAAGTAATGTCAGAAACTGGGAAAGCACACTGGAATCACATTATGGGGAGGCTGTGCATGTCACATCTCAAATAGATTGCTTCTAGGCCAAGGTGGGATGACAGAGAGGCAGTGCTGATCTGATGCCAATATAGTACATCCAAAAGTGGACAGGGTGAGTCAGATGTCAACAGGGGTCAAGCTTTGGGGGTCTGTGGGGTGACAGGAGCATAGGGGATTGCAACTTTCCCCCCCAAACCATCCTCTCAGTGAAGCAAATAAAAACTTCATGAACAAGGCTCTGTTGGAAGAGAGGATGAAGGGGGAGTGTCTTCTGCTGTATCTTGCAACAAGGAGGCAAGATGTGCATCATAACCATCATGGATGTGATCAGGGAGAGTGGAGAACAGTAGATTATACTGTAGCTGTTGCAATCTTGGAAGAATGATGGATGACACTGGTATGAAGACATTGCAGGGAGCAGGGAGGAAGGATCCATATGCTTCTTGGACCAGAGAGACTGAAATGACCACATAAGACCTTTCCAAGCAAATGACAGACCTGAGGCAACCAAAGAATGTCCTTCTAGAGGTCATACTGACAAAAAGAACATGCTGTCCAAGCCAGATGGGCTGAGAGGGCACAGATGAGGGTGGGATGTACCAGGATGCTTCAGGACAGAAGCTGATAGGAACCCCTGGTAGATATATGTAGCCATGGTCCCTAGCAAAGGGGACAAGTGAAATGATTGATGTGGAGGCAGCCATATCAGAAGAACCTAGCAAAATGAGCATCTATTGGAGGGAGTGCTGTAGAAATGTGTGGAGTGTGCAAATCCTTTCCAATCTTGGAAGGTAGGATTTCATGGCTGAGCACTACAAGCAAGTGTGGGAATGGTCTCAGTATCTGCAGAAATGGCAGAGATATGTCTAAAACTGGAATGCCATACATGGATGCTTAAGAATTTTAACTGGGCACTTAACTCACTCCCTTTCTTTTTCTTTGGCACTGATGACTCATTCTTGTGTGAGGGATGACTGCCAACATTTCTGGCTGTCCTTCTTCACATGAGGGCTATGGTCTTCATCTCCATTCATCAGCTGTATCCATGTCCACCTCACCAAACACCTTTGGTGTGTGACATTGATAGATTGCTTCAATGCTGCAAATGATTGTTCAAAGGAAACCATGGGGCCACACACAAATCCCTGAGATGATGACTGGCTTATCCAACATGGGAATTCTCTTCCCAAGTACTGTGCGCATGAATGGCTTGGACTCATGTCAGCTCTATTCAGATTGTGAATGATGAATAACTCACAAAGTACAGATGTAGTTCTTTGTGCTTCACACCAACCTCTTCAAGTTAGTGGCGACTGGGACACTGGAAGTCTATGTCCTCAGCACAGGCCTTGTCTGTGAGCCACTGCACTAATCCTAAGCAGGGGTCACACATGATGCAAGGGCAGGAATAGCACTTGAATAAGTATTTAGCTCCATAGTGGCAAAGGTAGCAATACTACTTATCATGTTAGTGGTGATAGGAGGATGGACCTATAGTACATACCCAGTTACACCACTCCTCAGCCAGAGGGGACTGTCTCTGAGAGGATGGAATGGATGTCAATGAACTCAGTGTTAAAGCCTTTGAGGTGGACTGCATGGATGCACATTGGATGGGGGTGGAATTAGCAGTGCAAATGATTTGCACTCATGGCATGATACTAGATGTGGTTTTCTTCGCATTCTGCCTTGTTCTGGCCATGGATAGTTCCTCAACAAAATGTTGATGCATGATGTGCTAACTTGCAACAAGAAAATTGTGTTGTTGATGTGAAAACAGGTCCACACAACATAACTGACCACAGTACATCACACATGTTCAAATCTCAGGAGCTTCTAATACTAACTCTGCAGGATTGTTGAAACTGCTGGCCAACATCTGTTGCCCATATCACAGAGTAAGTGTTCACAATTTCTCAGCTCGTTGAATCAGTTGGCCTACATCTGTTGCCCATTTTTGTGAGCTGGTGCTCATGCACCCAGACCTCCTCAACCTGCTCATGAAACTGCTGGCCAACATCTGTTGCCCATTTTGCTGAGCCTTACTTGTGATACCATTGGCTGACATCTGTTGCCCATATCATGAAGTAAGTGTTCATGATTTCTCAGCTTGTTGAAACAGTTGGCCTACATCTGTTGCCTGTTTCTGTGAGCTGGTGCTCATGCACCCAAACCTCCTCAACCTGCTTATGAAACTGTTGGCTGACATCTGTTGCCCATATCATGTAGTAGGTCTTCATGGTTTTCACAATCAAGGCAACAGACATGGAGACAGTTGGTAGGTATATGGTCTCAAAATTGACTTGTGATTGTTTTTTTTCAACAGGCAGGCCTGCACACTGACCTTTGGTTGTACAGTCAAGACATATGGCAAGGAAAACCTCATTCAACCCCTTCCAGTGTGGGACACTACCTCTGGGTAGCATGCAATTAAGGGGGAAGCTGCAGGGTAATCCCTAGGCTTGACCCAAGGGGTGCTGAGTAGGAAGGAGATGTAGAATATGATGGTAGAGTTGATCAAGGAGTCAGATGTGGGGCACAGAATTTAATTCTGCAGAGATGTAGGTGAATTGGGTACAAGTAGACTTGTTTATGAAATTCTGAGTGATGACCTTGGCATGAAGAATTTCTGAGACTTGTGAGACATGGAGGTGAGACACAGAAATGCAGAAGACACAGTAGATGCAGAGTACACAGCAGACACTTTGAACACTTAGACACATGAATGACTCAGATAGTGACTCCAAAAGATGGATGGTATATTTCTGACACCATGGCAGAATTACATAGTACAAGGGAAGTAGGTACAAGTCAGAGTAAGGTGGGGCAGAAAAACTAAAAGACTGGAAAATAAAGGAATAGACATCAGACATCAGCAAAATACAGATGCATGTGAAATAGTCTGGTGGGTAGTAGACAAGAGTAAGAACAGGACAATGGTAAGGGGTATCTTCCAACAGAATGAGAGTATGCATACCAGTGGGAGGTGGAGCTGAGTGGCACAGGAGGGCAGAGCATAGCATACTGGCATGAAGTCCAGCTTGCAGAATTTAAGGTGACAGGGGAAACTGGAGTTTTTTAGAGGTAAGTGGCACAGATGACTGGGGACATGGCTGAGTGGTGGAACAGCTGTTGAATTCCAGGTGACTCTGCACAAATGCAGAATTTCTGGATCAGCATTTTGATGACTGAGTGACATGCTGAAGGTTGGTAGAAACTCTGAAGGCAACAGGGGTCAAGAGGAAACATGAGGACATGAGCAGGAAAAATTCTGAAACAGGTTTGTCATAAAGGCCTGCAGAATGTAGTGACAGATTCCTGTTCCAGCCTCAGGGAGTATATGGCTCCCTACACCTCCCAGGGACTTCAAATGCTGACCATCCTTGGTGAGACTGAACTGAGACATGACAGAGACAAGTACAGAATATCAGCAGATGTTACATAACAATGATGGCATGTGGTCAGAATTCTGCCTCGTGCAGAGGGAAATTCTGCATTGTATGAGATGGTCCTGCAGAATTTAAATGTGCTCAGAAGGTGTCTCACTGCTCATCAAAGGTCCATGCCCCAGCTACACCCACATCCACTACTCAATCCATACCCAACCTTCACCATGCAAGCCTACTCAATCCATGACATGCAACCAGTTTGCAGCATGAGGGATCAGGCCATCACCTCACTGTTGGCAGTGTTAAGGCACATTAGGGTGCTAATTGACACAGTGCCACAGCCCAAAGAGAGCTTAGAGGCAATATATGAGTGGGTAGAGAACTGGGACCAGACCTGGGTGAGTGCGCTAGAGACCTGTGCAACACAATGCACTGACCAATCCCCAGGCTGGGACCTACTCATGGTGGAAGTATGTTGACAAGAACAAGATCTCTATCTCAAAGGTGCACAATGCCAACCTATGTGATATGACTGAGGAATCCATGATACAGCAGAATGAGGTGGTCCCTGCAGTGATAGCAATAGCAGATCCCTGGCAGCCAGAAGGGCAGTGTAGGTTCAACATCAATGACCTTTTTGAGGACTATCAGGAGCAGGTAGAGGAGAGAGCATGGTTGGAGGCCAAGAGGTTAGCCAAGGCACCATCCATGTGCACCCAGGGCCAAGCAGCAAGAGGTGAGGGCCAAGACTGCACACCAGAAGACACCAAAGGAAACCTGTCAACAGGAGCTGCACATTTGACAGGGGAGGGCTCTGGTAGTGCAAGCAAGGGAAAAGGGAAGCAGAAGGTGTGCTCTATGGCCTTGACAACTCCAAGCACACATGCTGACTTCAATGAAAATTCTGCAATGTGTGGTATTGTAGATGCCCTGTGGCAGAGGATTCACACATACAGCTGATGCAGGCTGGGATGTTTCCTGCTACCACAAAGGCCACAAGGACTGCATTTACCTTCCAAGTACTTGATGACTTCATTTGGGACAATGTGGAATGTGGTACCTCAGCAATGAATTTCTACAGCAAACTTTGCTGCATAACCTTCAATGCCTTTCCTCATCTGGTGCCAGTGCATCCTATTTGTTGAATTGTATCACTGCAACACAACTCTTAGCTGGATGACAGGATAGGTACAGGGAACTGCTGAGAGTTGCTAGGATGTGGCAGCTCCTGAAACTACTGAAATGGCAGGGATCTCACATGAGTGCAGAAGATGCTGGCCCTGGGGAATTAGTGTTATTCTGTCCAGCATGTCCTCAGCCTGGCATCAACATTCCTAAAGATGAAACAGATTATTCCCAGTGAGTGATAACATGAACACCACTAGCCATTTATACAATGTGTAATCCAGTTGGACACTGGCAAGAAGCTTGGTCATGGATGGGAATTTCAAGGAAGAGCATATGCATCCAAAGGATGCTGGCAGCAAAGCCTGGTTGATGGATGGAAAGGGGTACATGGTCACATCACAGCCATACAAGGAATATTTGAGTGGCACTAAAAATGTGGTTGAGGTGGGTGATGTGTAGGAATGTATTACCCAATGGACTGACCACACTACAAGATCTCAGATTGCAGCAATCATCAGGCAGTTAATCAAGCAAATGCCAACTGGCAGCAGCTCGCATCTACAAGAATAGGTGGATGTGCCTGTGTGTGGCATGGCTGTTTTGTGCCACATGCAATGGTTGACTTCCAGAAGGGCAAACAGTATGAATAACCTTGTAACAATGTATGACAATATTGACATCAACATCACAGGCAGGTTAACATGGACTATGCACTTGTGCATGCCATCAGGCATGGAACAGTCCCTGGCCAGCAAGTGATACATTTCTATGATATTAACTGCCAGCATAGCAAAGGTTTAGAACAACAGCTACATGCCAATGCCTATATATCCATGCCAGATGGCATGCAGATCTGCCCTGGCGTTGGGTTGTGGCATGTTCATGGCCACTGCACAGAATGCTTTGCACGATATGCTCCCAATTTCATTGTGGGTGCTGGCTGGGTGGATGGGGAGATCATGGAAACCTTGTGGTCCTCCCTGAATATCATTTCCCCATCTGCTAGAGGCATGGCTACTCCCCATCAGCAGGAGGTACTTGATTTCCAAATGAATGATAGCAATTTCCTGAAAATGGTCAGAATGCATGAGTCTAGTGCTTGTATCAGACATGGTTGCATGGCTAACAGGATACAGCAATGAGACTCAAGTGGAAACTCAAGGTTGCTGAGGAATCTTATTTAGTGGTTGAAGGCAGATTTGCTGATTTGAATGGTAATGTCCCACTGGCAATCAGCCAATCATGGGGGGAAGAAGTGGCAGTGGCATTGGAAAACTGGCTGTCAAGGGTGACAGAAGCTCAAAATCTCACCATTGCATGTCACTGATTGTATCCAGTCCCATATACATGGCATTTTTGACAATGCTGAAAAACTATTTGGGGACAGATTTGAGGATGCTGAGCTGTGCTGGTCATCTAACCCTCATGATCCAGAAACCATATGTGAGATGCAAAGGGAGGTATTTTGACACTGAAAGGCCTGGTACAAGATGTCCCCCTCTTCTGTGGTGCTGCCAGGACTTGGACCAATCTTTTTGTTGCCCCAGACACCAATGCTGGCTTTGATCTCCTCCTAGGTTGTCCTTGGGCCCTTGGAAACTTTGTTAGCATTGTAGAGAGAGAGTCTGGGACCTTTGTTGTCTTTGGAGCTGATTCAGAGCAACCCCTGGAGATGTGTGTCACTGAAGGTTAGCTTGGAACTGTTGCAGATACACATATGGTGACTCTAGAGCCTGCCCAACCTCAGGAAAATGTTGATGAAGGCATGATGGATGTATCAGCTGGTACTCCTCATCGAGTTTCCCCTATAATCTTCACTCCACCCCCATCAACTTCACAGTCACCCCCCCAGTCATTTCATTCCACCCTGCTGTACCCTGAGTCAATTGCAGATGGGTTTGATGTCACTTCAGCATTGCCTGCCTTCCAGCCCATCCTGGTTCATACCTTTCCACCTCCTTCAAGCCCCTTTCCTTCAGAGTTTGTGCATTGACTTCTGCAAGAGTTGGAGTCCACTGAGACGAGTGGATTGGAGCATAACCATGTCATTGCCAGGATTCACCAGATCTTCCAGACCATCAGACAGCGCTTTTATTGGCCTCAGCTCTATCAAGATGTTGCCCACCATGGCTGTTCCTGCCATGAGTGCCAGGTTTGAAGCACTTGTAAGGCAGAGGTTCCCATCACCATCTCCACTTCCCCTAGAATCTTCATGAAGGTTTATGTTGATGTCATGCTCATGCCCAAAGCTTGTGGATATTGCTATCTTGTTGCAGCTTGAGATGATCTTTCCCTTGCTGCAGAAGGTCATGCTCTTTGACATGCTAATGCAGACAGTCTTGCTAAGTTCTTCTGGGAAGAGGTCTTCTGTTGTTATGGTGTTATTGCACAGGTTGTCACTGATAATAGCAGCAAGGTCAAGGGTGCCTTTGAGAAACTCATGAAGCACTATTCCATTCCACAGATTTGCATCTCCCTGTATAATTCAAAAGCAAATGGAGTTGTAGAGCATGGACACTTTGTTATCAGAGAGGCTATAATCAAGGCCTGCAAGGGAGACCTTTTGCTCTGGCCTTCCAAGGTTCATCATGCTTTCTTTGCAGACAAGGTTACTACTTGTCACTCCACTGGATTCAGCCTTGACTTCTTGCTCCATGGTCCTGATCCTGTCTTTCCCTTCGATCTCTTTGAGTCTACATATCTTGTTGATGGATTCAGCCTTGACTTCTTGCTCCATGGTCCTGATCCTGTCTTTCCCTTCAATCTCTTTGAGTCTACATATCTTGTTGATGGATTCTGGTCTGGAATGACTTCTCAGGAGCTCCTTGCACTTCACATTCATCAGTTGGAGAGGAGAGAGGAGGACATCAATGCCACTTTCACCACTCTCCAGAGGTCTTGTTTGTGCTCCAAGGGTCAGTTTGAGAAGAGGTATGCACTATGATTGGTGAAGTCTGCTTATGAGCCAGGAGACTTGGTATCGGTTCACAACACTCAGATAGAAAAGGAACTGGATCATAAGTCAAAGCCATGCTACCTTGGTCCCTATGAGGTTGTTCATCACACCAAGGGAGGTTCCTATGTCATTAAAGAACTCATCCCCTATTATTCTTGACACACTCCTTTACCAGAGGTTATGGAAAAAGATATTGGGGAAGAAGAAGAAGGTAACAGCAATGACGATGATGAAAATGACAATGAAGATGAAGATGAGGAAAACCAAGAACACAATAATGAAAATGACTATGACTCAGATGACTATTCATGATTTCTCCTTTTTCTTTTGGTTTCTTACTTTTGTCCTCTCTCATTCTTTTCTTCATTTCATTTGGATTTTTCTGTTTTCCCTGGGATCCCAGCATTGGCCACAATTGGGGACAATTGCATTTTATCTTGCTGGTGGATGTCACACACCAAAGGTGTTTGGTGAGGTAGACATGGATACAGCTGATGAATGGAGATGAAGACCATAGCCCTCATGTGAAGAAGGACAGCCAGAAATGTTGGCAGTCATCCCTCACACAAGAATGAGTCATCAGTGCCAAAGAAAAAGAAAGGGAGTGAGTTAAGTGCCCAGTTAAAATTCTTAAGCATCCATGTATGGCATTCCAGTTTTAGACATATCTCTGCCATTTCTGCAGATACTGAGACCATTCCCACACTTGCTTGTAGTGCTCAGCCATGAAATCCTACCTTCCAAGATTGGAAAGGATTTGCACACTCCACACATTTCTACAGCACTCCCTCCAATAGATGCTCATTTTGCTAGGTTCTTCTGATATGGCTGCCTCCACATCAATCATTTCACTTGTCCCCTTTGCTAGGGACCATGGCTACATATATCTACCAGGGGTTCCTATCAGCTTCTGTCCTGAAGCATCCTGGTACATCCCACCCTCATCTGTGCCCTCTCAGCCCATCTGGCTTGGACAGCATGTTCTTTTTGTCAGTATGACCTCTAGAAGGACATTCTTTGGTTGCCTCAGGTCTGTCATTTGCTTGGAAAGGTCTTATGTGGTCATTTCAGTCTCTCTGGTCCAAGAAGCATATGGATCCTTCCTCCCTGCTCCCTGCAATGTCTTCATACCAGTGTCATCCATCATTCTTCCAAGATTGCAACAGCTACAGTATAATCTACTGTTCTCCACTCTCCCTGATCACATCCATGATGGTTATGATGCACATCTTGCCTCCTTGTTGCAAGATACAGCAGAAGACACTCCCCCTTCATCCTCTCTTCCAACAGAGCCTTGTTCATGAAGTTTTTATTTGCTTCACTGAGAGGATGGTTTGGGGGGGAAAGTTGCAATCCCCTATGCTCCTGTCACCCCACAGACCCCCAAAGCTTGACCCCTGTTGACATCTGACTCACCCTGTCCACTTTTGGATGTACTATATTGGCATCAGATCAGCACTGCCTCTCTGTCATCCCACCTTGGCCTAGAAGCAATCTATTTGAGATGTGACATGCACAGCCTCCCCATAATGTGATTCCAGTGTGCTTTCCCAGTTTCTGACATTACTTGACTCATACTTTGACATTCTGACTGTCTTTGACTCACTTATTGCCAATACTTACCAATCTTTTGACCTTGCTTACTGATTCTTCACTTTTTGGCATACCTATCCTTACCAATGCTCACCAATGCTTTCCAAGATGTTTACCCATTGCTTACATTCCTTACTCATCAGTTACCAATCACTTCCCAAGTGTTTGCACCTTGTTTTCCATAGGCAACACCCCTCCACTGTATATAAATCACTGTACTTAGATAGCAACAAAAAGAGACATCAGAGAGCCCCTCTTGCTCGCAATTTTTAACATCACTCAGTAAATCCTCCATCAGCTTCAATAGTTGAGACTTCATTAAGGGTCTAACTATCATCTACTTTGCTTATCCTTGTCTATCATCAAATATACTTCACTCAAAGCCCTCCTTGAGTTCAGTGCAGCTTAGGACATTGAATTAAGTCACCATCAATCCTTCTGTAGGCTGACAGCAGTCTACCCTATCGCATTCTCATTCTCTCACATTCCTGCTCCATCTTTGTCAGGAGCACCCCCAACCCTCAGCACTCATCCTTGAGTGTTGTAGCTTGCAAAAACCCACCCAAATCAAAGGTTCTACCATCTAGGTACTGCATAGGCACACCACTACTCGCTCTTTTTGTCTTTTGTGTTGGTTTTGGTTGGTTTTCACCACTGAACCACACTTTGACTCACACCAGGCATCCAGTATTTGATCAGCACAATCCCAGTTTGAATGAAATCTATGAAATCAATGCTATATTACTAGCCACTGTTCTGTGATTGTATGAAGTATAGGTTATGATCTTATACTGGTGGTAAGATATGCAGTATACTGACAATTCATGCTATGCTTCATGTCCATATCTATAGCACCCTAGCTGTGTGCTGCCATATACAGAACTATCCATGCTGGATGCCATGTGCTGACATGAATCCTACTCAATCCAGATGTGTGCTGTGGTATGTTGGGTCAATGCCATCAGCTGCTGAGAACTGCCAGTTTATTCTTCTGCATCTAACCATGTGCTGCTGTATGCATAACCATCCATGCCACACATCAAACCTTGATGTGGATCCTAAGGCAGTCAGGTGTTTACCACTGTTTGCCATGTCCATGCTGCCAGCTGCTGCCACATTGCCGGCATGTGCCAAGCAATATCTGCTGGCTGCCATGACCCTCCAGAGACTCCTGGAGCAGGTGCCACCAGGTGCTGTGGTACATGTTGCCACAACTTCCCCATGAATTATGCTGCATGCTGCAATGTGCCATAATGTGGAATGCCATATCTGTCAGATGCTACTGCTTCCAAATACAAGGTGCTGCACTGCTGAGCTATCCTGAAGCATGCCAAGGCCTTGTGCCAACTTCCAGTGCTGATCTACACATGCTGCAGCATGCCACTGGATAGGTGACATCTCACACTAGGCTACTCCAGGTACTACAGGGACAATTTGATTGTGGCCTACTCATGTGTTATTTGATAATAGAAGCTGGGCTGGTCCATACAGCAGGGGGATGACTCAATGTAGGGCTTGACCTCCACTGGCCTGTGGGACATGGCCAATTGTCAGCCTCCACTGGCCCTGTCATATGGTACAATGTAGGTACATTATGTGCCACAGCTCTGCCAATCTGAAGTATCACCATGGGCAACCTCACAATGTGCACACCCCCGCATCTTGTGGCATGAATGATGCCTGAGCCTCTTTCCAACTTTGATCTTTGAGGCAATGTGTCGATGGTGAGCAAAGCCACACCCTGTTCAGGGCTTTCACATTTCCATGTCTTATTACAGGTCGTATTGTCAGCCCCCCTTATGTGTGATGAGAGGGGCCCCCCCTCTGCAAGTCAGTATGTATTTATTCCTCTCCGCAGCCCACCTTGTCACGAAATTCCTCCCACCATGAACAGTATTTCCCATGCAAGCCCACCATTTCATGTCTGGGCATTTGTCATTGGATTGTGCTCTGGCCCTCTTGCCACTAGTGTTCACACATGCACCCAGTGCCATGTGGAAATCATCAACATCCATAACCTCTTTCCCCCTGATTCCATGATTGACTCGACACATGTCTGTGTAGAGGATGACATTTACATCATCTACTTTGATTGGCTGTGCCATGTGGAGGACTGTGACAATGCCATGTACATATATGTCTGTGTGGTGGATAACAGCTGTCCCCTCAGTATTTGTCCTGAGGATGAGATTGCAAATTTGTTGAAGGTGTTGGACATGTAAGCATCCCTCTTCAGGTTTGGACACATAGGCTCATGTTTGATGTAGCATGGACTGGTGATATCTGGCTGTCATGGAATCAGAGACTCTGTAGTTGTGGGTAAGGTGCAAAGATGGTATGGTGACTTTGGCCATGGTTGACACCATCAATGGCATCAAGATGCTTGGGGGGCCAAGGATAACTGGGAGTATGGAATTTTACTGGTGTATTATGTTCACCCTTGCCTTTTGAATCAACTACATTGTGCATGGAGATTGGCTGTCGAACCATACACCCTAAGGCTCTCTGTGCAGTATGTACACCTCTGATGGCAGTATGACAAACCTGGTGTGCACATTGGGCCTCCACTGGAACAACATTTGGCCTGCCATGACTGCCATGCATATGACTGCTGTCACAATGCGAGCCCCCCATTGATGGGCAATATAATGATTATCAGTGGCATACTTTTCATGCCATTCTGACCCCTAAAGTGAGCATGCATTCAGCCCCTCTATGCTCCTATGCTGATCTCCTATTAGGTTGGGATACAAAAGCATGCATTGCATGTGAGGGGCAAGCATATTCGATGTCCACTGCCATCAACTTCATGGCCCCCCAGTGGGGCATGACACCTTCATATCTGGATATCATCAATGAGGTTCTTGGGCACTGCGATCTTCTTGGCATGTTCAACCTTATATCCACTTGTTGAGCTCATGTGGAGGTGGTGCAGCAACATCTCAAGACTCACATCCAAAACATGGGGAGGGGTTTTTTTGCTGACCTGATTGTCCTGCATGACATCTTGTGCACCTGTGATGGTGTTGTTTCAGGATCTATGGCCTTGCATCTTTTATTACTGGCCAGCCATACATATTCTACCTTGTGGCTTCCTACTGACCTAGACATCTATGTTCCCTTTTGGTCAGAGAACCTCATAGCCCGTCTTTTGGTTGGTCAGGGATATCATCTGCATGAGCTGGCTTCTGTTGATGTGGCTGTGTATGCAGGGACCTCCATCCATTCAGTATGTGCTTTCTCAAAGGGTTGCTACAAGATTGATGTCATTGTCTCAGTGAATGCTGCCTGCATTGTACCTGTTTTCCAGTTTCACACCACTGCTGTCATGAACTTTGTCTCCACAGATCACATATTCTGTGCTTATCCTGCTCTTAAAATGCAGGCATGCTCTCATGTCAATCCCACACTCCTCTATAATGGTGGACTGCACTGCAAGGCCATTGCCCCACTGCAGAAATACATGTCATGTGGTTTCACATTTGAACCATATGTCAAGTCTCATAGGTTCAGGTATGCATTTCACAACAAGACTTTCACTGTGACAGATGGAGGCTGTATGTGGGTTAATCCAGAGATGTTTCTGCATGTCACTGTGACACAGCCAGAATTTTTTGGCCATCTGGGCATCTTGGACCTACACTGGACATTGGAGGGCATGGTCTGTGGGATGGATGCTGTGTTCCAATGACTGTGCATGCTCATGATTGATGATGAGTCGTAAGTCTGCTCACAAATCTTTGACCTTGTTTCATTGTCTTTGCCCCAGTAGTTGGCTTATTGAAAGAAGGAGTGCCCTTGTAGAGGTTGAAGAGGAGTCTGACTGAGAATTTTTCTCACTCAAGAGACACAAATGACAATGGAACTGTATGTAGGGTGACTGCGATGTAGTGGATGTACTCAGGCTTTTACATGCATTGTTGCCCATTGCTGTATGGATGTACATTGTGTTGACAGATATTATATTAAATGATCTGCATCAAGTGCACCTCAATTCAATGTTACACACTGTATGACATCATGCCTTTCTGTTTACTGCAATATTCAGCATTACACATCATCTTCCTTTATGCTACTTACATCTGTAGGCAGTCATCATTAGGGGGTGATGGCATGGATTGCAGTGATCAACACACCCTGTGTGCATTTTTCAACAGCCTGTTGCCTGAACTACCGACACCACTCTCACTGATCCCACACCCTTGCTTCAGTGGATTCACAGGAGCAGCAACTGGCTCTCACAGGACAACCATGTCATGAACAACAGCCATGAAGACAGACTTCTTGTCCCTGCCAATTGAGTAGTGCATCAGTGCAAAGCGCACTCAAATGACAGCACTGGAGAGCTTGCAAGTGGAATCCAATGGGTTGATACTCTTGCCATTGAGATCAAAGACTGGAAGAGGAGAGATATTGTGTGTCTCAGCTGCATGTGCCAGTGCCCCTTTCAGGTGCTCCTGCACTAGCCAGTCTGTTGTCCTCATCTCTGTTGACAGCATCAGCATCAGCCTTGCCCACCAGTCACCACAACCCACCATCATCAATGGCTGTTTCAGGGTTGGTGTCTGTGTTTTTGGTCTGGAATTTGGTCTCAGTGTTGTTGTCTCCTGCAAGACAAACAGGCATACCACAAAAAGTGTGTGATTCAAGCAAATTCAAACCTGGCCATGGGCTTCCTGCATGCATGAGAGTATGGTCTCACCCTTTTGTGACAGAATGAGCTTCTCTAAGGCTCACAAGTTAGCCATGATTGCTGGGAAGTCATGTTGGCTTGCACCATGTACAGAATTGCACTGAATGGCAATTAGATTGCATGACAGCTTCATGTCAACAAACTCCTTGTTGAATGCATTTGATGGAAAAAAGCTGCCCTCAGGTCCCATAAACAAGCCCTGACAGTTGATTTTGAAGATACCACTGAGTATCATCCCAACAATGTCATCCCCACTCCCCTTAATGACTGCTACATCACCAGATGGGCCCCCCATGAAAAATTCACCTTGACTCACAATATTCAGTGTGGCCACATACAATGCCATGTTGCTCTGCTTCAGATCTTCTACAATTTTGGCTAGTGCTGGGGGCATGCCACTCTCTGTGGAAACCTCTGTCGCATCATCTACTGTGTTTGAATTGAAGGCTACATCGATGGTGGCCATCTTGGACTGCCCTCAGGCTCTATCAGTTGGTTCTGTGCTGGATGTCATGGTCATTGTCTGTAAGAGATGCTTGGTGGGTACCCTAAAGGTGTGAGGGCATATTTGAACTGTTTCTTTTAAGGGGGGGTGTGGAATGTCAAACTCCGAGGGGCATTTGGGGAAAGGGGATGGGGTGATGTATAACACAGGTGGTAAATCTGTCCTTTGCAAGTCTGAGCACAAATGCCTGAGCTGTGGGGACACCTCAATTGCCAAGAAGTACTAGAGGCCATTCCCTCTGGTACATTGTTTCTGAAGTTGTGGAAGTGGGCTGATCTCAGTCCTGCAATCATTCTGATTCCTGAGGACATCTGAGAGTGCATTCATCTGGCAGCAGCTGCCAAAGATGACACTGCGTTGAAGCACAAACAGGAAGCCAATGCCAAGCAGCAGGTGCAGTTCAGAGCAAAACATCTGAGATGGGGGGTACCCTCTGTGCCAAAGGCAAGCATTATTGAACACAATGAAGTTGATAGTGTGGACATGCACCTGTACATGCAATTGCCTACCACACAAGAGACATGGAATTGCATTGCAAGATTCATTGATGCAACTGGCAATGATGCACTATGACATGCAACCTGCATCATCTGTGCTCAGGAAACCAAGGGAAAGGATGGAGAGATGTGAATCATGATAGACATACCCAACATACAACAACATTTATGTCTGCAGAAAGCCCATCCAGCTCACTCACTATGGTGTGGTCTTCTAATATTGGGGGCACATGTGGACAATGCTGGCCATGGGTGGGCATGTCACAATTGCCTCAGGGCCTTGCATGTGAACTGCTTACCATGTCTGGCCCTCAACAACAACCTATGGCTTGGGGAGCTGCCTCTTGTTCTGTGCAGGCTGACATTTGTAGAGTCTCTCCTCATCGCATGTCACTATCCCCATTATTATGTGTTCAAGTTATACTCAAGGGATGGGTTGCAATTGCAGACATGGTGCTGGGACATATGTTACCTCACACTGTGTGCTCTATGAGCAACATTCTCGCAATCACTTTCATGGGCACCAAATGGCTACCAACAAACTGGCTAAACCTCACCTTCCATGTCTGTTGAGATGCAATATGTGAAGCACTGCAATGGTTGCAAGAAAACAATAACATCTATGGCAACATTGACATTTCTGAGCAATGTATTGATGAACTTCCCAATGATGACATACCTCCTGAAATTGAGGCCATGATTTGCCTAGAAGACGATGAGCGAGAAGGCTATGCAATGTCTGACAGGATTGATTGCAAGGGTATGTCCCCTCCAATGTCTCATTGTTGTAACAGTTGTCTTACCTACTGCACTCCATATCTCACAGACATGTCACCTGAGACTGCTGACTTAATGGTGGGGGACAATGATGCTGAGGCAATACTGGATGATGGCATCAATAGAATTGACGATGGTGGTAAGTGTTCATGTATCCTGCCAATGGTTTGAGCAGTCATCAATGTGGTTGGTTAGGAGATGTCTTACCTCTGCATGTACTCGCTGTAAGCAATACAGACCTCATGAAGATGTCATCTTTGGAGCTAATGGCACATGCTCTGGCCAACTTGAATGATTCAATGCAAGAGGGTGGTTATGTCGTGTGCCATGGTACCACACCTATCATGGATTTTGGGTCTGATGCTGTGAAGAATGGGTGTCCAAATCCACTTGCAGCTGCTTTCCCCACCCTCTTTCCATATGGACTCAGGGGGATCAAGGATGATCGGTTGACAAAGTTGAGCCTGTGTGAACATTGTCAATGGGCATTGCAATATCATGACAAATGGTTTGCTACTCACCACTCATTCCCATTTTTTGTGTTTTCTCTCATTCAAAAGTGGGATGTGATGTGCTTGGTGCACCTTCAGATGCAATGAAAGGACTTTGAACAGGATGCATTGGCATTGTCTTTGATCACTGTCAATGACCTCAAAAAGGCAGAAGTTGAAGAGGCTAGACATCAACACATAACAAACACATGAGTCCATGCACTACACCATCACATGACAGCTGCCAATGGCCATGCTGAGGGCTCAGACAATGCTCATGCATGATACTGTGGCATGATTTGGGGAATGTGTCTTGTGTTTGGCAGGCCATCACTGTGGCTAATGATCAACCCCATTGATATTCATGATCCCATCATCCAGGTGTTTGCAGGTGAAGAGATTGATATGGACAACTTTAACTCCTCTCTGGGGCCTGACAGTAACTGCCATGTGGAGAACATCACTTCAAATCCATATGCTGTAGCCCTGTTTTTCAACTTTATTATCCACCAAGTGTTGGATACTCTGTTTGGGATACAGAAGAGGGCTAGTTGGACAACTAGTCACATGGGGGTCCTCAGACATCTCAGTGCATATTTTGGCATGGTAGAGGCGCAGGGCAGAGGTTCACTTCATGTCCACATGCTCTTATGGCTGTCTCACACCCCAAACACAATCAAGATGCAGGCCTTGTTGCAACAGGAGTCTTTTTGTGAACAGATTTGCTTGTACATCTCGACCAATATCCATGCCCACCTCAATGACCACACACCAAATGACATTGTCAATATGCCCAGGGATCCTCAACTTGCATACTCTCGCCCCCCCAACCCACATGTTTCAGCCTGGCCAGTCATCAATTGACAATTTGAATGCTGGCTAGTCAGATCCCAGCAACTTCATTCTTGCTCTAGAGCAACATGTCTGCACATGCACAATGGCAAACTCCTTCACAAGAGAAGAGCACCCTGGCCTTTAAATTCCCAGGACTTTGTCAACAAGTGAGGAAACTGGGGTCCAAGGCAGATGCATGGTTACATCAGTGCATATTGCCCAACATTGTTAACAGTGATGTGTTGCAACAATGACTTGAAAATCAACACCAATGGTGCTGATATGAAGGACATTGGGTTTTACATCACTGCCTATGTGACAAAACAGCAAAAGAAGTCACACAACTTGTCTGTGTTGATGGCATTGACACTACCATATCACCATGAGAATCCTCGATATGATTATGTATGAGAACACAACCACTTACTACTGTACTGCTGCATCAATGTGATCAATCGAGAGACAGAGTTGTCAGGACCACAGGTGATGTTGTATCTCATGGGCTTCAGCAACAACTTCACATCTCACAACTATGCCACCTTGTACACCAGCACTTTATTCTCCTCTGTCAAAACTATGTTTCCTGAGCTTTGCACATCAAGCTCTGGCATGTAAGTTCATTGAGGACATTGGGCACCATCCTGACCACATTCATAGAGTCAGTCAAAACATCGATAGGTCCAGTGATGACACTAGTGACAACAATGACATCATTACCCTCAGCTCAACCCCTGCCAGTGTTTTGTTTCCTTGCTTGCAAGTGCAGGACTATGTCTTTCACAGGCGGAGTTGGAGGACTTCTGTCTTTTGGTGTTCATCACAGATATGTGGGAGGAGCATTATACACAGTCTCAGGCCTGCCCACCTGCACCTTCTGTGCCCAAATGTGGCCAGCCTGTGCATCTGCATTCATACTATTCAGAACAGCATCTGAAGTGGAAGTCACACTGTCATGTCTGTCATGCAAGTGAACACAACACATTGCCTCATCTGATTGGACCCTGGTTTCCCCATGCCAATGACAATGGTGTTCATGATTATTTTCTGGCATGTATTTTGGCATTGTTGAAACCATGGCATCAGGCCTCTGACCTCAAGAACGATTTGGCATCATGGACTGACATGTTTGAGGAGTTTGACAACGAAATGGAACCTTGGCACAGACATGTGGTTGCAGGGATACAATACTATTATGAGTCAAAGACTGCATGAAAATCCTCCCCCTCTGATCACAATGCTGGGCCAAGATCACAGGGCTTCCTAGAGGCTGAACAGCCTGGTGAGTTGGATTGCATCAGCAAATGGGATAGTCACAAGAGTCTTACACTGACAGAGGAAGACCTCGAGTATGCAACACCCCTGTGAGCACTTGTGCAACAAGGATCAGTGGCTGGAAAGGATGGATGGTGCAACTGAAGCTTGGTGGGATCTTATTGACACTGGCACAGATGCATATTGAGGAGGTGCTGTGGCTGCACAGCTTGTGTAATCTGCCATCTGGATCTCTAAACTTCTGCATACAAAGATGTATGTTATATGGGGTTGCAGCAACATGGGTGGTGTCATGGGCCTCTAATCATCTACCTGTGAAGATGTGTGTTTTAGGGTGTTGTGGGGTTGAATATTGAGCTCGAGTGTGAATGCACCAAACAAGGTGCCTGCCATGCGAAATGGCCTTATTCTAGTTTAATATAAGCCATGATCCTATTAAATCAGCAATATGCACTTAGCCTGAGAAATTTGCAGTGGCAGTGAGGCATGCCTGCCCACTGCAGTGGGTGCATGCATGTGATCTGAGAGGCTGGGAATCTGTGACATCACAGGCCTCAGCCACCTTGGTGCCATTGCCAGCCAGGGTCAGTGTCAGAAAATTATTCAGTCCATTGCAATGACATCAGGTTTTTACACAGTGATAATCAGTTCACAATAAGATTGTGAGTGGGAGTGCAGAGTTGTAATATGCTAGCAATGCACATTGTAATACCCTTTGCAACAGTGTCTGCTACCATCTACCACTCATTTCCCTTCCCACTCACTTTTCCATCCTGTATTTACTGTATCTACTCTTACAGACCACATTGCTATTGTTTACTATCACCATGCCTCCTGAAAAGCAGATTGTTTTGTGTGAATTGTGTGGGAGATCGTTCAAGCCAACTGGAATAGGTCCTCATTGGAAATAGTGCATCAGGCTTGCAAAACCAATGAAGATCTGGCTCACTTTGACTGGCTTCATCAACAAGGTAGGCAAGAATTTTATTGGTTGAGTTTGTCTGATTTATCATGGCAGTCTATTCCTGAGCAGATGTTATTCCTGGTGTCACTGACAATGGCCAAGGATCCAACATAGAGGTGAACACAGAACCTGCACCTGGTAAGTATCCTACTGCTCCCTGAAATCCACTCTCATAATTGTTAGCAGAGCCCACTGTGTTTTGGCCCATGAATATGGATCTCAAGCTGCCAGCCAGCACCATCAGTGCAGATGACAAAGTGAATGGTGTGTTGATGTGAGATTGTGTATTATTCATGACTGAGTCATTATGCAGTTGCTCAACCTGCCACTGACTCCAACAACAACATCAATGATATCTGAGTCAAATACCACCAAAATGCCAGAAAGCCAACTGTGAAGGTGCTGTTTGCCAAGTTCAGCTGAGGTCATGTGCCCAAGACATACAAACCTGATCCTTGCACTGCTCCCTGGTACCTGTTCTGGACTTGTCTTGACTTTGACCTTTCAGAATTCATTCATGAGGCCACTCTCAATAGGGAACAAGCTAAATGTATTATCAAGCTTTCAAAACATCTTTGCACTGAGGACTGCACTTTGAATAGTTATAATGATCTTGAGAGCTCTTGGCAGGCTGCTTCCCACTGCATGATGGCAGTAAGCATTATTAATTCATTATTATTGCCAACCCTAATCACATCCTAGTCCAGTTTCAGAAGAGTGTAATAAGCATGCCATTTGCAGGTGAGACAATGGAGTTTGATGTGTATTACTGTTCACCATGGGATTGGGCCTGCAATCTCTTGAAGGATTCCAATGTGGGACCATACTTTGTATTTGATGCCAAGCATCTAGCTAAGTTTGATGGCTCTTCATTTGTTTGTTTCATCAATGAGCCATGGACAGCTAATGATTTTTGGACTGTACAAGTTTGTCATGAGTCTCTAGCATATACCCTCAATGAAATTGTTTTTCAGAGTGGTCTACCTTTGGATGGCACAGTTCTGGCATTCATTCTGTATGCTGATAAATCCAAGCTATCATCATTTGGTTGACAGAAAGGGTATCCAGTTGTTGCACAGATTGCTAACCTTCTGACTTGGATCTGTAATGGTGAAGGTTCACAAGTAGTTGGGTGGTTACTGATTGTCAGTTGCTTTGTTGATGGTGTTGAGGATACTGACTGACTTTTGTGTTGTGTTTCTAATAGCTAAAGGAAGACAAAAGGTATTCTGGAAAGAAATTGTTTGCCAACTTCAAGAATCATGTTTGACATGAATCTTTCAAGAAGATACTGGATACAATCTTGGAGTACTTGAATACTGGCTGCTGGGTAATGTGTTGGGATGGCATCACATGCTGACTCTTTCCTACTGTACTAATTCTTTCAGCTGATTATGAAGAGCAGTAAGTGGCTAGATTATCTGAAATCCCCTGAATACAGGCTGACAATCTTACCATTCAGAGCAGTCATGGCACTTATGCATGGTGTCCTATCAAATTTCCCTTGTCCTATTTGCCTCATTCCTCATGAGGAGATATCCAAATTCCCAACAGACTGTGAACATTGTACCAGCAAGAATGTTTTCAAGATGTTACAGGAAGCACACTCACAGAACAAAGCAGACCACAAGGAACAGATTCTGGAACAGCATGAACTACATGATGTAGATGTCAGTTTCTCATGCTATTACCTTCACTCCTGCTCTGATCCCTTCCAGAGTGCTTTCCAGGAGGTCAAGAACATGGACATTTATTGAGAATTGTGCTGGGGCAGACTGCATGCCAACTGCACAGGAAACTTTGGTGATCATTTGTGGGGAGAACTTGTGAGGATTCTTGAGACAATGGGCCATCAGATGATGGGAAAAGTAGAATGGTGTCACACACCAAAGGTGTTTGGTGAGGTGGAGATGGATGCAGCAGATGAATGGAGATGAAGACCATAGCCCTCATGCAAAGAAGGACAGCCAGAAATGTTGGCAGTCATCCCTCACACAAGAACAAGTCATCAATGCCAAAGAAAAAGGAAGGAAGCAAGTTAAGCACTGATAAAAATTCTTAAGTGCCTGTGTACTGCATTCCAGTTTTCAATGTATCTCCACCAATTCCACAGATACTGACACTGTTCCCACACTTGCTTATAGTGCTCAGTCACATGATCCTACCTTCCAAAATTGGAAAGGATTCGCACACTCCACACATTTCTACAGCACTCCCTCCAAAAGATGCTCATTTTGCTAATTCTTCTGATATGGCTACCTCCATGTCAATCATTTTGCTTGTCCCCTTTTCTAGGGACCATGGCTACATATATCTACCAGGAGTTCCTACCAGCTTCTGTCCTGAAGCATCCTGGTACATCCCATCCTCATCTGCCCCCTCTCAGCCCATCCAGCTTGGACAGCATGTTCTTTTCATCAGTATGACCTCTAGGAGGACATTCATTGGTTACCTCAGGTCTGTCATTTGCTTGGAAAGGTCTTATGTGGTCATGGCAGTCTCTCCAGTGCAAGAAGCATATGGATCCTTCCTCCCTGCTCCCTGCAATGTCTTCATACCAGTGTCATCCATCATTCTTCCAAAATTGTGACAGCTACAGTATAATCTACTGTTTTCCACCCTCCCTGATCACATTCATGACAAGTATGATGCACATCTTGCCTCCTTATTTCAAGATACAGCAGAAGATGCTCCCCCTTCATCCTCTCTTCCAACAGAGCCTCATTCATGAAGTTTTTATTTGCTTCACTGAGAGGACAGTTAGGGGGGGAAAGTTGTGATCCCCTGTGCTCCTGTCACCCCACAGACCCCCAAAGCTTGATCCCTGTTGACATCTGACTCACCCTGTCCACATTTGGATGTACTATATTGGCATCAGATCAGTGCTGCCTCTCTGTCATCCCACTTTGGCCCAGAAGTGATCTCTTCAAGATGTGACATGCACAGCCTCCCCATAATGTGATTCCAGTGTGCTTTCCCAGTTTCTGACATTACTTGACTCATACTTTGACATTCTGACTGTCTTTGACTCACCTATTGCCAATACTTACCAATCTTTTGACCTTGCTTACTGATTCTTCACTTTTTGGCATACCTATCCTTACCAATGCTCACCAATGCTTTCTAAGATGATTACCCATTGCTTACATTCCTTACTCATCAGTTACCAATCACTTAGCAAGTGTTTGCACCTTGTTTTCCATAGGCAACACCCCTGTACTGTAGATAAATCACCATACTTAGATAGCTGAATAAGAAGAAGACATCAGAGATCCCCTCTTGCTCACAATTCATCATCTCTCAGTAATTCATTCAGCAGCTTCAGTAGTTGAGACTTTATTAAGGGTCTAACTATTGTCTACTTCACTTATATTTGTCTATCATCAACATACTTTTCTCCAAGTCCTCCCTGAGCTCAGTGCAGCTTTGGACATTGAATTAAGTCTTCATCCATCCTTCTGTAGGCTGACAGCAGTCTACCCCATCATAATCCTTTGCATTCTTGCTCCCTCTTTGTCAGGAGCACTGCCAACCCTCAGCACTCATCTTTGAGTGTTGTAGCTTGCAAAAACCCTCCCAAATCAAAGGTTCTACCATCTAGGTACCACATAGGCACACCACCACATGCTTTCATTGTCTTTTGTGTTGGTTTTGGTTGGTTTTCACCACTGAACCACACTTTGACTCACAACAGAAGTGAGTCTATCTTATTCTATGAAACAGTTGTCCTGATAATTTTCTAGTCTTAGCACAGTACCTTGTTGGCATGGCCTCAATCATTTTGAGGAAGTGCTTTTGGTTTGTACACAGATGGCCAAAAATTTGAGGATCTATCCAAGGTATTATAACTATGCTGCCAAGCTCTAATTTCACTGACATCTCCCAAACAGATAATCATATTTGCATGTCATGATATCTTCCCACATGATACAGAACAAGATGGTTACCTTTTATTGTGCTGTTTGCATGCTTACATTGAATTTGATATGTATACTGCACTGGAATTACAAATGACACACACACTTGCTGCTGGGCAGGAGGTGCTTGTTATCTTCAACTCATTGATGAATTTCAGGTCCTGCCTTTGATGTTTGAGCTTACCCTAACCATTTCCAGACTAGACATATGCAGAGAAAACACAATATACTGGGAAAAATTGGAACTTTCCAAAGAACCACACCTGGATGCATGTGTTCAATGAAATTGAAGCCAAAGGTGTCACCCACAATTTCAATACAAAGCTGAATGAGAAAATGCATGGCCCCTTGAAGGAAGCATATCAGAAACAAACAAACTTCAAGAATGTCACTCAGCAAGTAACATATCTGCTGCAAGATTACAGAATATGATACTTACATGTTGACCACAACAGCAACATGTCTGGGTAGCCTTGAAGCTGGCAAGCCTGAAGAAGACTTTTTACATGTCAAGTTGGGTAGCAAAATGAAGGAACCATTAATGTTTGAGGACATGGAGAGGAAGAGTACTACTAACAATGCATTCAGCTGGTTCCAGGGAAAGCTCAGCAAGTTCCTCAATAAACACTTTGATATTGCAGGGAAACCTCTCCCTGGTGGGAAGCACATCCAATTCCAAATGAATGAGAAGGTGAGACAAAATGGCCTTCCTTGTTCAGTTCCTAATAATCTCTGCATATCATGGAATTTTGCTTCATCAAGGTTAACTTTGAATCCACTGTCAATTGGTGTCAGTACACAGATAATCTATGTTTCCACCCTAATTTCCATGGACACCCCTGTTATGACTGCATGCTCATCAAGACTCAGCAAAAAGATGTATTTGGGTGACTTATACTTTTGTTCCAGTGTGTCATTGGTGAAGAAGCCTTCCCCTTGGCTTTAATACAGCCATTCGATGCCCCAACTGGGCAATGACTCCACAAGGACAAACACCTCAATTTCTGGAGAATATGCAAGCAACCACACATCTTATCTGAAATTATATCAGTCCATTCAATCATTCACAGTGCCCTTCTATATCCAGATCATACAGGACCTGGTGAGTACCTTGTTGTTGACATGGTTGACACTGACATGTTCCTTTGTGTACAAATGATGCACAAAGCTGCAGGACACCTCTTAAATGCTCTACATATGTCATCTTTCTGAAACTGCTGAGTCTCTCTTCTGATCCTCAATGTATTCAGCATTGACTCCATGTTGGGCCCATGAAACAACAATGTTTCCACTACTTAATCAGTCTTCTGATGTGACAATATCTGGTTCATAGATCCATATCGATGTAGATCTTCATTGGGCCAGGGTGAATGCTATGAATCCTCTTGACCATATCCTTGTGGTCGACTTCGTTATTGACATCAATCGCATTACTGACAGCTTGGCTAAGGTAAAGCATGGTTAGCACAGATTTGCAGAGTGAGAAATGACTTACCTCCATGCTTTGGGCAGTACAAACTTGAAGGGAAAATGTTTACTGCTTAGACCCTATATTGTCCTTGACCATGCTTGTCCAGTACATGCTGTAGAAAATCGAGGTAGTTAGTATCATTGACAGCAAAAGTAAGCTCTTTTGTCTTCATGGTCACTTTTGGCGCAGTCTTTCCCTTCTCCTTTTTCTTGGGTCCATAGGCAGAAAGCAAAATTGTGAAAGAATGTAATTTTTCTGCAACAGGAGTGGCAGATCACGACAGCGATGACATGTTGAAAAACAAGTCTGCCATAGGGACAAAGTCTAAGTACATGCTTACACTACACAATGTTACCATAGAGGTGGTTTCAGGGTCCTATCCTGGCTATATCTGAACAGACTAATTGTCAAACAGATTTTCCACATTGTTTTGCAAACAGCTGTAATTAGTAAGCACCATTTTATCCAAGATGTGTTACTGACCTTTTCATCTTCCATGATTCCATCCACAATGCTATGGAGGAAGTGCATGTTGACCATGTGGTCAACATGTTCAGACCACACTGGTCTCCATATCTCTTGGCCATTGACCTCCTCAGAAGGCTGCTGATTGGGCAGCCCATGCTGGTACTTAGCAAGTGACTTCAAACAATTGGCCTGTCCCAACATGTCAATGCCACACATTTCTAGCACCTTTCTGTAGAGTATTGGCTATGCATGGAACTGTCAGACACATTTGTTACTTCATAGCACAACAAGGTAGGCTTTACCTTAAGCTTTGGATGCTGATTCAAAATATTCTTAGCCACACTGGCCAACTTGCCTTGAACCTTGCTTTTTGTGGCAGAAACTTCCCCTTGCAGACGACAAACTGCCATTTCATTATTTTCAATGTGGGAGGCAAGTTGCTTGTGCACTATTTCTAGTGCTGAAAGTTTGACAGTAATCTTTTTGATTTCTTCTGTGAGTAAGTGCATGGGATTAAGACCAGAAGACAATGTATGAATATACTGGTTTCCCCCTTGAGATGGCAGATCGTGATGTGCCTGTGCATCCTGGAATGACATCAAGGTTTGGGCTTGGTGGTGAGGTGTGGGTATGTACCCAAACACATAATCATGCATGGATTGTGCACCTGATGGTGTATGTACTGACTGTTCATTGTATGTTGACATGCCACTGTGCATACTAGAGGGTGTTGCTGGGCTTGCACAGAGGGTCAGATCCTGCATTGCATTCCGAGTTCAAACTAACTCACCAAAAGGAATCCTCCCATCGTGATGGATCAGCAAGCACTCCAAGCATTAATGGTTGGGCTTGAAATTGCTGTCCAAGCAACATGCATTGGCCCCTGCCTTCATGACCTGTACCCCCTTGTGTCTAACATTGAGCAAGTCTTTGTGTGTTGTGCAGCATGCTTTATTACTTTTAATAATACTTACCAAGGACTGGCTCAGTGGTCTTGTGAAGCCACAATCATTTTCAAGCTGTGAATTGACTGGGGAAGGTGTGTTTTGGGTCTGCTCACTCATTCCTCCAGAAACTGACATTTGCACCAAAACCAGGTTTAGGTTCATACATTGGTATCCCCTAGAGGCACTACAATCTGTTGAAGACAATAACAAGCCACTTTCTTGCATACTACAGGAGGAAGACATGTTTTGTGACCCATGTGGCCCACTGGAAGCTGATGCTATTAATTGGCTGAAGCTCATGTCCACACTCGCACTACAGGACCGCTCAGGCAGCCCACAGTTGGGGGGACCCTGGAACATGTTCAGGAGGGAGCTGGGAGGGCAGGGGATGCATGGGCAGTGAACAGAAGCAGTATGTGTGGGATTTGCCATAGGGAGGGTACCCAGGGAGGGATTTCGAACAGACTATCTGGCTGGATGATGACTGGAGAAGGGACAAGTGACACAGTATCTGTCTGTACTACATGGTGTATGAGCTGCTGTCTGCCAGAACTGCAGCCACTGAGGCTGGCTGGACTCCAGGCAGTGTCAGAGAAGCATGGCATTACATAACCTACCTTGACAAAGGCAGATCTTTTGGAGGATGCTGTAGGTATCCTCAGTAGTGCAACAAGCTACTGAGGGAACAGTGAATAAACTACTGTAAAATGTGCGCTCTAAGGTGATTATGTAAGCACCCAAACATCGCACCAAAGTGAGCAGAACACAGGGGAGAATATATCTCCAACAAGATCACCTGTTGAAGTATGTTCTATCTACAGTCCTATTGTCTGCCTGTACAATACCTGGTACCAGACAAAATCTCATTTCTGCAGTGAATGTGTAGAGTGCACAAGTCCTTTCCAATTTTGGAAGGTAGGATCATGTGGCTGAGCACTATAAGCAAGTGTGGGAATGGTGTCAGTATCTGTGGAATTGGTGGAGATATGTCAAAAACTGGAATGCCATACACAGGCACTTAAGAATTTTTATTGGCACTTAACTTGCTTCCTTCCTTTTTCTTTGGCATTGATGACTCATTCTTGTGTGAGGGATGACTGCCAATGTTTCTGGCTGTCCTTCTTCACATGAGGGCTATGGTCTTCATCTCCATTCATCAGCTGCATCCATGTCCACCTCACCAAACACCTTTGGTGTGTGACACCAGAGCACAGTGGCCATGGGTATAGCATTGTGTGAGAGGGAGCAATGGCATGGGAAGGTAGCAAGGTAGGTGGGAAGCCAGCACATGAGCAATGGTGGATGTGAGTGGTCTGGGGATGTAATGATAGTTGTGGAACAGTTGATGATAGGGGCTTATGTGTCCAAGGAATGTGGATTCCCTACACCTACACCTGCAGGGGACTTAGATGCTGACCATCCCCAGTCAGCCATATGGTGCAGAGGATGTAAATAACTTTGCTGCATGGTGATGGTGAAGGTGTGGTGCTGAGGAGTCAAGAACACCAGAGGATTCCATGTAGAAGCAAAGGGAGCATGGTGCCAAGGAACATGAGAAGACTGCTGAATGCCATGTAAAGGCATCCAGACTGATGACATAAGCACCTCATGGTTGCTAAGTATATAATTGTTAGTGCACAGCTCAAACTTTCACATAATTTTAATCCTTTCCCCCTCATCATCAATCCCTTCTATTGCTCTAATCATGTTTGCGAACTGTGTCCCCCAACTCTCCCTGCTCATACATGCACCAACCCAGACCCTGCAGAGGCAGAGAAGGCTTCCTTGAAAGAGCAGAACATGGTTGCATTGGCAGGGCTCATGGAAGAGGCAAAATATGTGCCCAATGACTGGGAGGATATGCAGGAGGAGAAGACAACCTGGCTAAGGCACTGTGAGGAGAAGACAGTAAGTGTTTCACTTGGTGATGTGGTCATGTGATATTGACAAGTGTGCTTCAGGCAGTATTGATGCCATTGGTTGAGCAAGGGAAGGTGCTTGGGGTCTCCATGCAGGTCAATGCAGAAGATGCTCCTGTGCTGGCTGAGGCTGATGATCTCTACAAACAGTGGACTGCAGAGGAAGCCAAAGCATGTGCAAAGGCTAAGCAGGATGTTCAGATGGGGGAGGAGGCTGCAGTGGAGCTTGGTGATGACAGTGCAGTGAAGATGTCCCATGTGGAGGTCCTGCAACCAACTTGCAAGGTAAGTCACTGCAAGTGCATCATGTAGTCTGACTGACACTGTGACCACACAGAAATCTCAACAGGCAATTGCTGAAAGTGACAATGATGAGAGGTCCAAGGCATCCATCCCCCCAGGGTCAGTACTACATGCAGTGCCCTGAACATGGTGCACCATCAAGGGAATGCCATGCATCAGGCCAAGTGGCAAGATGTGCAATGGGTGTGCAAGGATGAAGCAGGGCTGCAAGATGTCCAGCAAGGGGGTGGGAAAGAAGGTGCAGGCTGGCACATCAGTAGGTGAGTGTCAACCCTGTTTCAATGTGTCCAAGGTTAACAAGGTGCAGTTCAATCAACTAAGGCACCAAAGGCTGGCCCATCTAAGCATACTCACAATGATAATGATGATGACAACATCATGGAGGTGGTTGAGACCCATGGCATGGTAAGGGAAAGGCACCCATGCATGGCAGGGTAGACAAGAAGACCACCATGGGTCTTTTGCAAGCAGCATCACATCATCACAGGATAGGGGCAAAAGGAAGGTAGCCTCAGTGAGGTTGAATGGGAACAGTGGTTTGACACTGTCTACCATGAAGTAGGGGGATAGACCTGTGGACTTCAAGATGGTGATTTGCTTGGCCCAGAACACAGAGTGCATGATGGTGTGCCAGTGGCAGTCATCATTTTTGCAGCTCTTCATGATAGCCTCATGAACATCATAGTGGCAATGCTCTACAATGCCATTAGCCTGAAAGTTGTAAGAGAGATATGGATGTTACAGATATGATATTGTGTGGCTAGGGCATCTAAGGCTTGGATGAACATGGGACCATTGTCCATGACAATTTCAGTGAGCAGACCCCAGCAGCATAGAATGACCTCAAAGATGAAGGATGCAAGTGTGGTACTATTTTCTGTGCAAAGCATGCACCATTTGGGATATGAGGTGAGTGTACCAGTAGCCACTGGCTTTGTGCATTAGCATTGTGTCAATGTGAGCTTTATGAAACAGGCCACCTATCGTGGGCACAGTGGGAGGGATATGGAGTTTCTGCATCTGGCAGATCTGGCATTTGTGACAAGTGTGAACATACCACTTTACATCCTTGACAAGCAGAGGCCACCAAAAGTGGAGGAGAAGGCAGGTGCAGACCATGAAGAAACCTTTGTGTCCTAGGTTGTCATGTGCTTCTTTGATGAGGTGATACTGCTTGGACTCCTCAACAACTAGCTGGTGCCATCCATGTGGTTCTCTATGCCATAAGTTGCTGTCTAGGAGGAAGAAGTGGCTGGCAGAATTAAAGAAGGATGAGTACTGTGCATCAGTAAGGTCAGGAGGTTGCTTGCAGGTCATGAGGAATGTGTGGATTATTTCTATTTTTGCCTCACATGTCCAAGCCTTCACAGACCATGGGATGGCTGGGTCATCAAAGGCATCAGGGGAGCAATCTGGATCAGTGGTCACAGAGAATGCAAGGTAGAAAGGGGCAGGTGGTGGGAGGCATGCCCAATGGTAAGCAGGTGGTGGGAAGGAATGATGATCATGATTGGAGATGGATGAAGGAGGTAGGCAGTCATTGATAGCCTCAGTAGAGAAGGAGTAGAAATTGTCTAGCCAGTCCTTGTGGTCTTTGTCCTTGGGTGGGTCAAGTTCTGACCACAGACAGTGGGACAGGCCATCAGGCCCAGCATGCTTGTCCACAGGACCATGCACAAGTTTGAATGAGAAGAGGAGGACACCAGCAATCCAGTGATTGATCATCACATTAGGCTGTAGATCTGGGTTATTTATCATGCCCTTAATATACCCCACATCTACCTCCACAGTGAAGTTAGTGAGACCAATGATGTATACACATACTGTGCACAATGCATGAAAGAGGCCATACAACTCAAGCCTAGCCTGGGAGTAGCAGCTTTCCACTTCATTGAGGGTGATGGATCCAAAGCAACCAGGGTATTGTTTGCCATCTTTGCCAAGCTGGTAGAGGATGTAGCCAACTGCAATGACCAAGGTGTTGACAGCTAAAATGACTTTGTGACTGCACTCATAGTTGATCCACCAGAGTGCAGGGGACTTTACAATTTCATCTCCACCCCACCCTTAGTCAGCAGTTTCACTTAGTCATCCTGCTACTGCTGTGAAACTTGACATCAACTTGCACTAGGAGTCCTTTTGGCTGAATACCTTCACTCCATTCAGCATCTCACTCTCAGTCAGTGTTTGTTCATTTCCTCCTGCATAACTCATCAATGACTTGTGCCAGGAGCACTCCACTTGAAGTCCCCCCCCACATTAGATTCTTCTGCCCTCCAGGTTCCATGGAGGTAAACCACCACTTGCTCACATTTGTCTTTGGTGTTGGATTTGTTTGGTTTTCACCAGCTTTCCACACTTCAACTCACAGCACACTGTCAGGAAGAAGTCCAAAGGGTAGTCACATGACCCCTCAGGGAATGGTCCACATGGTCTGGTAGGAGAGCAGTACAAGTCCAACAGCAGTCACAGTGTAGATGGTTCATAAATGCCAGAGGGTGGGCAGAATTGGTGCAGAGTGAGTGAATGACTGGCAGAGAAGGTGCAGAGTTAGTGAGGACTTAGGATATATGCATGGTCATGACACTCATTGGATTTCATGACTCACAACTGTGGAGACTAGATGAAGAAAGATTGGATCAACTGCCTAGGGCACTCATACCTAGGCACACTGCCAATATAGCTAAAGTAACCACCCACATTATGTGGCATGACATCATTGGGATCAGGAGGGTTGAAACCAAGTTGAGCCAACCAGAAGCAGATGGAATGGCTGAGGTGTCCCCAAACACAAGCAAAACAAAAGGTATGGCCACAATCTGGCAGTCTTGAATCAAATATCCTCAGTTCCTGACCAATGTAAAGAGCAATGAAACTCACAAGAACCACCAGGGAAAGAGCAGCCCACAATACACACAAATCAAGTGAGTCTGGACCAGTGCAACAATCTACCCAAAAGCATGAGTGGATTTCCCATGAGTCTGGCACTGCAGTTACCTTTGCTGTAGCATGCTGCAACCCTCCACCCACAGCTGTAGGGGTAAATTCTGCTGGTAAACCATCAGCTGCTCCAGGACTGGTTTCAGGAAGCAAATCAGTTGTGAAGTCAGGATTGTCAATGGCAAGCTCTCCTGAGGGGATTTGTTTGCTGAGATCCATGCTAACATCTGACTCACTGTGACTTGCTGCAGCAATCAGCTCACAAGCTTCCATATAGAGGAGGGCCAGCTTACAAACATCCATGTTGGAGACAGGGACTGTTTCACAGACATCCATTCTGGCAGGATCTTCATGACCTGTCATACTCAAGGGATAAAGGTATGATCACAAGTATGCAAAAACAGACTGAAGACCAATGCAAGAAATTTCAAGAAGCTAGCAAAAATTGACTGCCTTTTAAGGCTGAATGAGAAGCCTGAGTGACACTGAACATCCTCTGTGTGACAACCAAAGTCAATGAGATTCTTTGTTACCTTTGGCAGCATTCTGCAGAACTCAAAGACAGTGATGTGTGGCTGTCAGGAAACCATACAAGCAGCCTTGAGTTTTGTGTTGAACAAATGCAATGACATTTGCCCATGTGCAGGTCTACCAGTCAGTAAATTGATGAAATACTGCAAGGAGTACTTACCTTGGCATCATGACAACTGCTACTCACCTGGAACTGAATCTGATGGCAGGAGGCAAGATAAAATCATGAGAGCTAGGCCTAATAGATCTCACTGGCAAGGATGAAGGGACAGCCTTCAGAGGTGGTAAACTCAATCAATATGATCAACCTTATCTGATGAGTGATCTGGCAATGATTGCCATTTGTGACCATATATGGACATTTAGTGGTATATAGTCACAAAGGATGTGATACAAAGAGATGGAGAGGAGTCAGGAAAAGGCATGTCAGGGGCACTACAAGTGGCTTTGTGCATTGAATTGAAGGTCCTTTGTGCCTCTGGAGTTTGTTGGAAGCAAGATGCTCAGCTGTGTGCATTTTCTCCCTACTTTTTTTACAGTCCTATGTAGCTCACCATCACCATCATTCCTTCATATTACTATAGGCTCAATGCTTTCTGGTAAAGAATGTCAGAACCTCACCACCCCATTACCCTCCTTGCAGACATTCCTTCCCTTCCTGGCATCTATCTTGAGCATGATGTAGGGTAGCATCATGGCACTAGTCATTCAAAGACTCATGTGTGTTCACCCCCTCCTTCACAGGACACACCTTTCTTGCATGAAGCCTTTCCTATCTGCCACTGCTGCCCCAAGCCACATTTGTCATGGCTGGGCATATCCAAGTAGGTTCCATGCTAGCACAGGCATCTTGCACTGACCACCATCATAAAGCTACATCACTTCTGCTGCATGTTGTCATCATCCTGTGCCATCCAGGTGCTTAATCAATGAGCCCAGTACATTGCCATGTGGCCATAGGTCTTTCAGCTGTCTGAAGTTGAGCCATTTACTATGAAACACATATAGGGAAAAGTGTCCTGGATTCATGGATGATGCTAGCACAGGTCCAGCATTATCTTCAGATTGCTCCCAATGCAGAACAAACATGCATATGGTGCCTATGAAATGCCACTTCAATGTAACCCATTCATGCTCATCTATAACCTCTAACAACTGTTCTCCTGTTATGGACTCCTTGAATCATAGGGTGTTTGCTCCTCCTGATGTTGTACCCACTACCACTCTGAATTTAATTGAGTGACTTTGTCACCAGTATCACCCTCTGACAACTGCCTTCATGTTAACAATTCCTCAAATCATAGGATGCCCACCCCTCCTGACATTGTACTCACTGCCACTCTGGCAGGATTCCAATTCCAATCAAGCAGCCACATCACTGGTGTCTCCTTCTAAGCCATCATCATGGCCTCTGAAATGCATGAGGAAGGTTATCTGAAGTCAAAAGGAATGTGTTATCTTTTACAAGTTGAACACATCTGGGTCATCAGTTCATCCAGTCACAGAGCTAGGTGCATTACACAATTATCCCCTGTCCACCTTGGGGATCCCCTTCAGCTTATTATGCAGAACATGTCCTCCTTGCCCACACCAGGCTGGCACACTGTATCCTTACTGTCCCACTCCAATGGAGCAACACCATCTCTCATTGCCTAAGCCAGACAGATATCAGAGGGCTTCTGATGACTGGATTGGGTTTCCAGGCAGTTTTTTCATGCCAATGACATTGCAGACTTGTATCCCAATTGTGCTCTGACCACTATGATCCCAACTTGTCTCAGGTGTGGGAAATTATTGGTGTGGTACAAGGTAATCAATCTTCCATCCAATCATGAGCCAGCTGCTTAGACCCATTACTTATAAGCTGGTCCTTTGTTTCTTAGAGGGCATGTTGCCAGATCCACAGCACATCCGCTTTGATCCCATCTGTCATAAAATTTCCCATGACTTTGATATGTGGACATGATGATACCAGTGGCAGAGGCATCAATCATACCTTTCACTGGCACATTTCAGCCTGACCTTGATTCAGCAATGGAGACACCTTTGAAGCCTTTGTGTTACTATCCTTTGTCAATGCAATATAAATTACCCCTCTCACCTGAGCATGGCACTGCTCCCCCAACCACCACTCCAACATGATAAACAACAATGCTGAAGGAGTCAAGTCCATTCTCTCTCTGCAACTTACTTTGTCCCATGTCAAAAATCTCCTTGCTACATGGTGCCATGCTTGTGTCAGAGTGTCATATCCATGACTCTCAGACTCAATCCCAGTCCAGTCCAGACCCCCTAGCCCCTATCTCCAGTCAGGTCTGGTCCTAGTCCAACCTAGAAAACCTAATTCTGGCCCTAGATAACCCAACTCCAGCCTGAATAACTCAAGTCTGGTCATTTACCCCTATCTCTGGTTCATTCTGGCCTCCCAGCCTTGTGCTGCTCCACCCCAGTCCTCCCAGTTTCATGTCCAGGTCACCCAGACATAACTCCAGTCATTTGTACTATGTTTAGTCTAGTCCCCTTTGCTGATCTTTGCTTACTGTACAAACCTGTGTCTGACTCTGGTTATGCCAGTCACCCAGACTTTAACTATTAGTCTTGGCACAGCCTCCATGGCTGTCCACTCCTTGCTAATCATCTCACTAATAGCTTATTAACAAGTCCCACTCTATGTTCATTACCCCAGACTGGCCTCATGTATTTAACCCATGTGCATACTTCATAGCACCTCAGTCAGAATATCAATCTAGTATTACCCTCAACCCCATACTACTCTCCAAGTCTACTCTATAGCTAAGGCTGAGCCTTAAGCTATCCCCAGCCCCTGTCCTGGACCTCTCCCTGGCTTGCATAAGGGTACAGCACACAAGCTGAGACCAAGGGAGGTAGATCCAACCCTGGACCAGCTTCCCCCTGTGCACACTCCATGACTGGCTGGTTTCCCACAGTCCCAGTCTTATTCCCATGCTCCCAGTCTTAAGTCTGGTCCTCCAGACTTAACCCCTGACCTCTGGCCCTAACTCTGGTCCAACCAGACTTGGCCCCTGTCTCCTGGCCTTGACTTTGGTCACCCAGTCTTGAAGCCTGGTCACCCAAGTGTAAACCTGTACTTAACACAGAGATAGGATTGAAGAGGTGCACAAGCAGCATCCCAAATAGAGAACCAGTATGCATGAGCATTTCTCTGAGGTGATCACTGATTTACTTCCAGGCAGTGTCACACACCAAAGGTGTTGTAGACATGGTTACAGTTGACTCTGCATAACTTGTCAACAAGTTGCACACCATGAATGCAGATGAAGACTAAAGCCCTCATGCATAGAAGGACTGCTGGACATGAGCAGTCATCCTTTGCACAAGAATGAGTCATCAGTGCTAGAGAGAAAAGAGGAAGCAAGTTAAGCACACATCAAAAGTTTTTAGTGCCTGTGTATGGCATTCCAGTTTTTGTCATATCTCCACCATTTCCAAAGATATCAACTCTGTTCTCACACTTGCTCAAAGTACTTGGCCATGCCATCCTGCCTTCTGATTTTGGAAAGGATCCTCACACCCTATGCATTTCTACAGCACTCCATCCATCAGATGCTCATTTCACTAAGTCCATCAGATATGGCTGCCTCTTCATCAATCATCTCTCTTGTCTCTTTTGCCAGAGACAGTGGCTATGTATATCTGCCAGGTGTTCCCACCAGCTTCTGTCCTGAAGCCCCCTGGTTTATTCCATCACTGTCAGCCCTGTCCCATCCCATGCAGTTTGGCCAGTGTGTTCTCCTTGTTAGTATGACTTCTAGAAGGATGTTCTTTGGTTGCCTCAGTTCTGCACTCAGCTACAATGGTCTTATGTGGTTGTTTCAGTCTCCCCACTTGATGAAACATATGGATCCTTCCTCCCTGCTCCCTGCACCATCTTTATTCCAATCTTGTCCATCATTCTCCCCACATTGCAACAGCTGCAGTATAATCTGCTTTTCTCCAGCCTCCCCGATCACATCCATGATGAGTATGACATGCATCTTGCCTTTTTACTGCAAGACCCAGCAGAAGATGTCCCCCCTTCTCCCTCTCCTCCATCAGAGCCCCATTCATGAAGCTTTTATTAACTTTGCTGAGAGGACAAACAGGTGGGAGATGCAATCACCTATGCTCCCATTACCCCACAGCATCTTCACCATGTTGCTGGAATGCTGCTGTGACAAGTTTGGCAACAGTAGCTTGGACACCTGATGTTTGATATGTTGTGACAGCCAACTTAAGGCCTGTCTGCCAATCACTATTGCATTTGTTGGCCTGCAACCAGAAGTATAAATATTCAAACACAAGAACAGAACCTGCAATTGTGGGCTATAGGTGTGAAATCATGACAGGATATCAATTACCAATGCCATGTTCTGCAATAAATTGCATTGAATGCTGTGGTGATGTGGCCAAGAGAGGCATTTGGACAGAAGATGAGGAATGAGTGTCAATAGTAGGCTATGATGTTGTCAAATCAAGTGATCTGTTCATGGCAGAATAAGGGAGGCAAAACTGACCACCTGAGAAATATGTCATGGGAGCATATCAAGTAATGTCAATGAGGAACAGGACCACAAACCAACTACAAACATTATCAGTAAACCATCATATGAATTCCAAAAAAATGCACACATTCTGGACAAGGTATATTAGTATGGGACATAATTGTGAATGATGATGACTGACATGCTGATAGAAGCAAATAGAGAAATAAGGGCCAAATTAAACCTCCATGAAAATGTGCACCTACATCCTGAAAAATTGTAAAATATGAATATGGCATAAATACATCAATGGAACTCACCATCTATATAATATCAGCAAGCTGTTCAATAACCTTAAATGAGAGTCACATTCTATGACCAAACATGGATCATTTTAAAGGGGGAATAGTGAGCAGACATCTAGCTAAAATCTGCTATAACTATGCTCACAAACTAGAAACCCAATATTGTATTGGCAGTGTAACCATGATGAGAATGCTTTCATGGGTAGCCATGACCCTACTCACATCCTATGAATGCAAGTCCAAAAGGGTGGGAGTGAACATGGTCAGAATGCTTCCACCACCTGCCAGGACTCCACTCACTTCCTGTGAATGCAAGTCCAAAAGAGTGGGAGTGAACATGGTCAGAATGCTTCCACCACCTGCCATCACTCCACTCACTCCCTATCAATGCAAGTCCAAAAGGGTGGGAGTGAACATGGTCAGAATGCTCCCACCACCTGCCATGACTCCACTCACATCCTATGAATGCAAGTCCAAAAGGGTAGGAGTGAACATGGTCAGAATGCTTCCACCACCTGCCATCACTCCACTCACCAACTATGAATGCAAGTCCAAAAGGGTGGGAGTGAACATGGTCAGAATGCTTCCACCACCTGCCATCACTCCACTCACATCCTATGAATGCAAGTCCAAGTGGGTGCAGGTGAACATGGTCAGTATCCTGCCACAACCTGCTATGACTCCACTCACATGCTATGAATCCCAAGCCATAGTCATATCAGTATCCACTAAGTCAGATTTTTTGCAATTTCACACACTTTCTGTTCTCAAATCAGCATATCATCCATACCACTCACTATTTTCTTACATATGGAAACCAGCATGAGAGGATATATGAAAGGATTGTTGGTCCCATCTTGCCAACCCAAGTATTCATGCATTTCTTCAATGTCCTTGCACATATCAGTACATATTTATCCTTCTGCTTTCTCACTCACTTTCTTATTGCAAATTCCAAACACAGTCCCAGGTTTGACTGCTGTGATGATATGAGGAGCTGCTGCAGTCCTTCCTCACTTAAAGCATTTGCTGTGCATGTTAGTAGGGGTGTACACTCAGCACCCTCTTTGTCCATTCCTGCAGTCATTTTCTCTGAAACTGTGCCATTCTTGAGTGATGGTTAGGATACTCACCAGTGAGTGACAGATAGTCATGTGGTGGAAACCTCAACTCATTCAACCAACCCTTGACCTTTACAAGACACTCATTCAGGTTCCTTCTTTCTACCTCTGCAGCCTTTTCCACTGCATCATCTTCATCCAAACCATCATCAATGAGCTCCAGGAAAGCATCCAAGGCCAAGGTATCTGTTTTGTTAGCAAGACAATTACAGGAACTGTGACAGAAACATTGAAATTTAACACCATCAAACAGAGCACAGTCAATATACACACCATGTCCTGTATCACATTCATCAAAAAACTTCTTTTCTGCAGCTGTGATCATCCTGTGGCTATCATTCAAAGGAATGCAAAACCTAAATCCATCACAGAAACCATGTCACTTTGGTTAGGGTGTCGGACAGAGTCCATACCATATGGCATGAATTCTCTCATCAAGCTTGGTTGTCTTGGCACGATCCATCACAAATTCCTTCATCATGTCAAACTGCTCTTCACTTCCGGCCTCAAATCCACATGAGTCATGGAATACAAAGCGCGGATTACTCTTAAAAACCAGCTCATCCCCGACGTTGTGGTAGCCGCGCTGGATACATTCAACCCTTCAATATTTGCTGCAGAATATTCATCAAGTCACCTCACCATTAGCGAACCCTTCACTACAGTAGCGTCTACCTGAATACAGCCCGACACGTTGTTAATCTCAAACATATACAATGAAACATACACACCTTTCCCCCTTCTCCATTAAAAATTTCTGGTTCATCCGTAGTATTACAGACCCTCTGCAAGATTGTTGTTTTACCTGCATTGGCTCTTCCCATGACGAGAATGCGAAAGCGTTTGATGCGATCGATGTGCTCTCTAGCTTTCGCAGGATTCAAGCGAAACCTAGAGCGTGCGGAGGCTGACACTGATCATTGCTGCTCTTAGGCTTGTCCCCTTCACAAGTACAACGCTTACCCGTGGGTACTTCTTCTGTGTGTACGGGAACAGGAGTGTCCACACTTTCTTCCGGAGAACGTGGAATCGTGGGTTGCGCCTCGATCAGTGCAGGAGCAAGACCACCCGTACTGTTTGACGGAGAACCTTGCCAAGCAACTAAGTAAACTAAAGTACACCATAAAAAACGCGAGCAACCACCTTGAGCAGGGGCGGGAGCGGGAATGTTCACGTTGTTAGGGCTAGGGCCCGCAGGAGAACCTGGCGGAGTGTTTTCGACCGCTGTGGTAACACGAACACCCCCAATATTGACTGAGGGAGAGTCAGAGGCTTCGACAAGAACCTCAGTCAGTGCAGGGACGTGAATGTCTGTACTGGCTGGGGGCTGATCTGCTCCAACGGGAGAGGGAACTTGTGGAACAGCTGCATCGCCGCCCGGAGAAGGCGGCCGCCGAATACACCACAATGCCTTGAAGCATCCAGGAGCCATGAATTGAATGAAAAGCTGAAGTTCTTGGAATGTCGCAGAAGCAATAAGCGTATGGACGAGTGGAGAGGGCGCAGAGTTGCGGACTGTTGCTGATCGCTATCAAGGCGCCTATCGATAACCAAGTACGATTGGTGGCGGCTTTTTCCGACAAGAAGTGTACACGTTCTGATTCAGAAAAGTCATGCCGACACCACTATTACATTCTTCAATCTATACTGCTCGGTTGCCTTGATTAAGTTTGTCGTGGGGAAAGACAAAACTAGTCATATTAGAGGTTGCAAGACATCATATGTAAAGTGTGTAAGCGTGGTGAACGACGAAGGAAAAAGAAAAATTAACATGCGATATTGGCAGGGTAATGCGTAAGAAACTACAATTAGAAGCGTCTAAGGAAATCAAAAGTCAATGGGATGGATGGAGAGAATTTGGATACATCCCGTGTATCCGGTCTAAGCGAAGTGAATAGGAAAGCTGCATAGAATACGAACAGTAAGAAACATTGTAGGGAAGATCATAACACGTCGCAAGGGCCATTCACATTCGGGCAATGCCAATCTCGATAAAACCTCTCCATTTCCACGAAGACAGGCGCTCGTCCGAATTGGCCTTTAGATCCATGAAACTGCGCAGAGGAAACCACGTTCAGGCGTACTCCGTCGTTTGCGTCCGTGGGCCATGGGTGTGGAGGACGGTGAAGCTCCAACAACACTGCCTTGGAAACGGCGGCAAGTGACGAATCGCTCGCCGACGCAGAAGGCTCAACAGCGAGCGTCGTCCTGGGAAAAAATAACGGCGTGAATCGCGCAGGTGAGAGCGAGAGTCGTTCCCGGGTGCGCTGATAATCGTTTGGTCCAGGCCGTACTTTGTTGCTCACGAAGAGATACGAAGAATTGGGAGCGCTCTGCCCTTCCCCAGCTCCCTCGTCCTTGGCGTCCCCCATCGACCCCACGTCCTTAATACAAATGGTCGGCGCAAGCCGCATCTCCTCACCCCCAGAGCGAGTAACAATTATATCCTGTCGGTTGCTCTCGCCGTCGAAGTTACTCTTTCTGCGTCTATCTCCACGCCACGGCTCCGCAATCCCTGTTTTCTCCTACCTTCTAGGCAAGCTAACGCATCTATTCTACTCCGCATTCTGGCTGACGAGGTGATGCTCTCTGAGCACGCAGATGAAGACGCGCGAAAAGCGGTGGTGAGAGCAACGATGAATCGTACCAGACAAGAGGGACTGAGTAGGATGCGCGGCGATGTGAGGTATTGAAACGAGTACGTTCAAAGATGACGCATGCAATGATGTAGAGGGCGCAAGCGAAAGATACGGACGTAAAGGCCGCACCAGTCCGGGGTGTGATGAGCTCGGAGGTGCTGTCCTCATTCCCTTCTTCATCGGCAAGGGAGAAGGACTCGACGAAGGGAAAGGCGGGTGTGACTCTGCACTTGGAGGGTTGTTGGCTAGTAAAAGTCATTCTGGGAGTGACGTCGATGACACCGGGCTCGGGGAAGGTATATTTCGCAAGACTTTCGTGAAGGTCACAGGGACGCGACCGGCCCAGCAAGCTTCTGAGAGAGAGGAGGAACTCGCTCAGGGGTGAATGTGATATGCCTCTCACGACGGCTGTGCAGGTACGGCAACACGAGTATGCAACATGGATCATGAGGACGTACAAATCACTGTTCAGCTCTGAGGTTCAGAACGTCCAGCTGGTCGATCGTGACAACGTGGAAGTTGTCCGCTTGTTAGAAGTCTGTTGACGACTACATTGGGTCTGAACCGCCGTGGACCTGGCAGAGCTGCTTGCGAGATTCGAAATACAAAAATGACTTCAACTCGAGTCCGCAGTGTAAAGTGACAGGCAGATGGCTCGTCGTCGATATCGTCGAGGGTACAGTGTTTGGGGATGTATGCAAGAGATCCAAGTGAAAAAAGGAGAGTAGCCAGAGGGCAGGCACCGGTGGACATTGCATAGCGAGTGCCTCTTGAAAGGAAGAGAAGCTGAGGGACTGGACCCCATTCAAGACGGAACAAGACACCGAAGCTTCATCATTAAACCCCACGCTCCACGTACCAGAATTAACGACAGGCGTTGGTCCCATTAGCCCGTGATGGATGAAGTTGGTCAAGCAGAGCCGCCGAGGAGAGCGGTCACGTGGCATGGCGACGGAGGCTCCGTACCGGCTATTCCGGGCTGAGCTGCCCTCCCCCTCGAGTGTATACCAGACCTGGGACGGGTCGTCGCCCATTTTGGGTTAAGGGCAACTCCCATCGTTGCTAGTCCTACGGGTAGCCACCTAACTGGCTCAGGATAGGCGGCGGATGAGGCAATGGGGCAATGGAGCAATGGGGCCCCCTGATGAGAGCTTGCGCAGGCTCGAAACCGCCGCACTCTCCCTTCCCCTTACCTACCTCTATTCCTTCTGCATACGGCCCAGGGTGACTGACAGAAGTAATATGTAGATAGACGGCCCTGATACCTCCCCACCCAACTTTACCAAGCCTTCTATCGACGACTTGCCTCCTAGACATGTCTAGCTGGTGACCAGACTAACATGTCCATGCATTGACGGGATATGCCTGGCATTATGCAGGGCCACTGGCCTCGTCAGCAGTAAGGACGCATCAAAACCCATTTGACCATGCGTTCGCAATGCGGTTCGCCCAATCTGCAAGTATCAATTATTAAGGATCTACGTAAAATGCCTGGGCGGTAGAATGTCGGACCTTTGTCTTTGTGTTATCACCATGCGGCTTCAGGCGCGCGAGAGCTTTGTCGATGTTCTTATTGTTGGAGCTGGTCCTGCTGGTCTGATGTGCGGCAATGCCCTCGCTGCTGCGGGTGACATCAAGGTCAAGATCATTGACCGAAGGTATGTACGTCTAGGTTCAAAGATGGTTTACAAGTTACACCATTATATACATACGCTAACTGTTACCCAGGCCGTCAAAGATATCTGTTGGCCATGCAGATGGAATTCAACCGAGAACGATCGAGGTTCTACAAGTGAGCTCACGCTGTGCCGGTCTACCTGCTGGGATTCACGAAGGTCTTCCAGAGCTACGGCCTTGCCGAACGACTGCTACGTGAGGGAAGTCAATTGCACATGGTTGTACGTCATGCAGCTTCCCCTCCGAGCGTCCTCCGTCTAGACTCTGTCAAATAGGCTTTCTACAATCCGAATCAGACTGGCGGGATTGAGGTAAATGGCGCTTATTTCTACCACAGGTGGGAGAGGGCTTACGACATCCTCGCAGTTCACGGCTCGTGGTTCTGATGTGGTACCGACTGCGCGTTTCCCATTCAAGGTGTGCTACCTGATGTGTATTGATGCGTCTAGTAAATTCCTGCGGCCCTAGATTGGGTTACACCAAGGTGCCGTAGAAAGTGCATTCATTGACTCAATGGCACACCACAACTTAAGAGTGGACCGGCCCGTTGAACCGCTAGCCATTGAATTTTCGCGAGATCAAGAACAGCTCCGTAGCTTGTCCTCGTACCCAGTCAAGGTTCACATTCCAGGTGTATGCGCTAGTAGGACCACACTTAAACTATAAATTTACAGGTAGCGCTCGCACACTTGGATGCAACCACCGATGCAGACAAGTTGGAGGTTATCCACGCTAAATACGTTGTCGGTACAGATGGTAAGCAACTCTCATAGGTACTGTGCCGCGCACTATGGCAGACATGATTGCGTTCTTTGAATTGAAGGGGCACATTCGTGGGTTCGAAAAGCATTCGGAATTACCATGGATGGGGATCAGACAAGTAACTGCTCGCTCCTGTTCCCGTCTCATATTAAATGGCCTAAAGAATATCGCATAGATGATGTATGGGGTGTGGTTGACATGGTCCCGGATACCAATTTTCCGGACATACGACACAAAGCGGTGATACATTCCATAAACGGTTCACTTATGTCCATTCCACGTGAAAATGACAAGGTACGGTTGTACGTTCAACTGTCGGAGAAGGATGTCGTGGATCCGGGAACTGGAAGGGTTAGCAAAGACAAGTCGAGTCCTGAGAAAATTCTCGAGGTGAGAATGGAGCTTCCCCCTAACTCATGTTAAGTTTTTGAGTCTCGCGAAGGTTGCAAGAAAAACGCTACATCCCTTTTACATATCTCCGTTGTCAGGCATAGAATGGTGGACAATGTACCTGAGTCCGTTCTCTGACACTCGCGATCGATAGTCAGTGCCTTACGATGGGTTGGATAGTCGGGCAGCGCGTAGCATCTAGATTTTCGGTCGAAGACCGTGTGTTCATTGCCGGGGATGCATGTCACACACATTCGCCTAAAGCAGGTTCGTGTAGCAGTGTGTGAGGTCGACTTGTCAGCTACTTACATATTCAAAGGCCAAGGGATGAATGCAAGCATGAACGATACTCACAACCTTGGTGTGTTTACAGATTACCTCTGCGTAAGATCAACTTTGATCGTCGCTTCTCAGCGTGGAAACTTGTTCAGGTCCTCAGGGGGTGGGCATATCCGTCAATTCTAAGAACTGTATGCATATTAATCACTCGACGTACACGGGCCTCCTGCTTACCGTGACTTTGCAGTACGAGTCAGAGAGGAGAAAGTACGCCATAGACTTGATCGACTTCGATAAACGACTTTCAGCGTTGTTCTCCGGTAAGCCGAGGACCTCAGATAACGAAGACGGCGTATCCCATCAAGAGTTCCTCAAGTGCGTAAATTGACCTCCTGTAGAACGCTGCCTGAGCCAACGAGGTTCCTATGTACCTCTTCCACAGGGCAATCGAGACTGCCAGTGGTTTCGCGTGTGGCACAAGCGTACACTACGGTCCTTCTGTGATCGTTAACGCCAAGCATCAGTATTGTGCAGAGAATCTCCTCGTTGGGCAGCGCATGCTCCCTCAAGTCTTCGTCCATGCAGCAGATGCGCGACCGGTGGACATTCACGATTTGTTACCCGCCGATACGCGGTTTAAGATCCTCGTTTTTCTCGGGTCCATGGAGGAGGAATCCAGAGTCGTAGAAATCAATGCCCTGGCTGACGAGTTGAGTTCGCCCACTGGGCTCTTGCGGAAATATTCGATGGGTGGCCGGACTTCTTCGCCCATGTTTGACCTCATAACCATCGTGGCGGGTAAGAAAGAGAAGTTTAATTACCTGCGTGTTCCTCTGGTTTTTCGGCCTCATTGGTCCAAGTGAGTTCTAAGATAATTTCACTGGAGTGTAAGACTTATATGTATGTTTACCTTCAGAGTCTTGCTCGATGATACCGATGTCACTGGGAGAAAGGGAGGTGGTGCCTACGAGAGGTTTGGCATCAGTTCCAAGTCGGTTACCTTTGTGATTGTGAGACCAGATGGATATGTTGGGATGGTGGCACCGGCTGCTGCTATGGGGGACGTGCATAAATACTTTGCATCGTTCTTGCTTCCCCGTCACTGGGTTTCGAGACTTTGATTTGATGATATTGGGTTGTTATAGGTGTCGTGTATTTCCGGATGTTCTATAGGCAACGATGATTACCTGTAAGAATATAAATCCGTGAGTAGTGAATGTAATCTGCATAAATCTAGTGTTTCGAATGCCACGTGGGAGTCCCGCCGCTCGTCCCACGAACCTGCCTGTGCGACCATGCCAGAAACTCTGCGCTGAGCTCACACATTGCGCGAATACTTACCTTCGTGCGATGTGGGCCATATTGTTGATGTTGCATTGCACCTCCGCCGAGTCGCTTCGGATTCTGGTGTGGAGAGCAAGTGCTGGACGAGCTCGAATCCGCTAATGCTCTTTGTGCGTTCATCGAGGCGCAAAAGAGGAAAACGGTGGGGCCCCGCAGCGAATCTATCGATAGGGAACGGCAAGGACTTCGACTGTCATTGAGAACCACGCTGGCGAGATGTCGTGTATCAAGACAACTTTCCCGAATGTCGCATCTTTGATATATCCTGAGTCACCTGAACTCCACTCTACCCTGCTCCCCTTCAGTCAATTTCGTACGACAGGACAGGGAATTGATCCTGTCGTCCTGGGGATTCCAACGTTCGTATATTCCCACCCAGCCGTCGTTCGTTGTCAATGTCAAGTTGTGAAAACTTCAAGCGATACGTCTGCTAAGGAGATCAATCTATCAGCTAGGAGAGGAATTCTCTGATCAGAAAGAAAATACCATGGCACTTATGGCATTCGACGTCCTCTACTCACGGATGCCAACACTTTACTCCGTACACCCCTCAAATTTTGGTAATTTCCTGAGGCACTTTGAAAAGATATGTTCGCCTTTTAATTTCCATTGTGTCTGGCGACATTCCTTGACGGGCTACCGACTCTCAAGTGCGGAAAGTCCTCGGCATCGTTCTATCGTCCGTCATCACTATTCGATCACAGCGGGGACATTTCTACGCAGGAGGTTCACACAGAATTGACATTTGTCAGCAGACATTGATCTGTTGAATGCCCGGTTGAAAGAATATCTACGCCAAAAAATCGTTGGAGAAAACAACGTTGGACTTCCTCGCCTCGATGCCCGTTCGCCGTTGTGCACGATCGTCGCTGCCACACAACGCACTGTAATCATCAACATTTGCGGAGAACGTCGTTAAATGCAGCATTGTACAACATGAAGGTCAACCTGCGTCTGCAACAAATACACATTTTAGACTTGATGTTTGCCGTTGTAGGAGGATATAAAGACTGGCACTCCAAATGAATATGGCTGCAACGACCTCAGCCAACCGTTGCCGTTCACCTACTTCACCCAGCATGACAGCCGGGTTGCGTCGCCTGTATGCAGCTTTATACTGTCCAATTTATGTTGAAGGTTCCATCGCCAACCTCGACTAGAACTCCATCCGGAATGCTGCGGAATGCATCAGCGTTGCTCGGAAATGGATTCAAAAGACAATTGAATACCTGGAGCCTACTGGTGATCCGGCAAACGATGGCGACTATTTGATGAACACCATTCGTCTTACTCGTCTCCATAAGGCGCTTGGTGGAGAATTTCAGCTACAGGAATGTCTTGCGGAGTGAACGTTGTCCTATATCCTATCGCACAGAAGACTAGACAGCGGTCGGAGATGATGACGGGTAGTGCCGCGCGCGCTGAGTACTTCCGGGGAAAGATTCCTACATGACTACAAGTACAGATACAAGGGGCATGCAAGAGTCGTAGCAGTACGTAGTTGCAATTGCACATTCAGCTTTTATGGGTGTTACGTCATGTCTTGAGTCTCAACGTTTCACTGAACTCGGGGTGGGCATGCCTCCCCAACATCACATCGTACAACCTACTCGCCACACATACATGGTCGCACAAGTCACCAATACCGAAGCCCACAAACTGATCGTCCATCTCATCGACATTTTGAGTTCCCCATATGCTGGGATCCTGTCCAAGACTGACCACTGCCAGGAACTTGTACTTCTCAATTGCCTCACATGCTGGACTCATAGTTTTTTAGCCACTAACATCAGTCCATATTCACTAATCTACATGCCAGTACAGAGATATTGCAGGAAAATGACACATGAACATTCGGTACAATCCCTTCACACGCGAACTGCTTTCGCAACATACCTATGGAAAATCAGAAGATCAGTAAATGGGTTTGATGACAAGATGGTAAAACATACGGCTCTTCCAAGTAGCTGATTTCCTCCGGGGTCAACGTGAATTCCCTGATGACGCTCTCCTGAACACGGGAAACGGAGTTTGCGCCTACGATGGGGCTCGTCACCTTAGCCTGGCTCCACGCCAGGGCGACCTGCGACATCTTCCATCCTTTCTTTTGCGCGAGCTCGTTGACGCGGTTGACGATCGCCGTATCGGCATCCGAGTATACCATTTTGAAGGGGGTTTGCTCGAGCGCTTTGCTTCTCGTCGTTCTAGCACCAGGAAGACGCGCGAGGGCGCCAGCCGCAAGTGGTGACCACGGGATGAGACCGATTCCATGGTACTTGCAGTACGCGTGCATTTCGCGCTCCTTGTATGATACGGTACAATGAGTACCGCCGCTCGACATACAGCGAGTCACATACCCCCTCCCGGTACAGCAGAGAATGCTCGTCTTGCATGCTGACAAACTTGGTCCAGCCGTGCTTCTCGGCGACTTCGTTTAGAAGCGCAAATTGCCAGCAGCGCATGGAGCTGGCCCCGATGTAGCGAGCCTTTCCGCTCTGGACGATATCGTGTAGTGCTTTCATTGTTTCTTCTGGGGGTACTTCGGGGTCGAAGCGGTGGATCTGCAGGAGATCGATGTACGAGGTACCGAGGCGTTCGAGGCATCCTTCAACGGCGTTGAAGATGGCAGTCCGTGAGAGACCGCCCTGGTTGACGTAGCGCCGCTGTTTTGACAGATCTGGAATGAGGTAGGTGTGGACGCCAGGGTCCTCGGACACGAGGCTGAATACCTTCGTGGCAAGGACGACCTGGGAACGAGGAATGTTGTACTGGACAACAAGCCGTGAGTAACACAGTTTCGCGTGGCGCCACGCCAGTGTGCCATACCTTCTTGATGAAAGTCCCAAGGACGCGCTCGGACTCGCCATTGGAGTACACATTTGCGGTATCAAACGTGTTGATACCTTGATCCCAGGCCGCTTTCAAGATCTCAAGAGACGCGTCCTCGTTAAGAATCCAAGGCTGGAGTGGAGGTGATAAGAGAAATAGTTTCTTCAAGTAATATGCTAACGTTTTACGCACGCCCCATTGCTCTTCAGATCCGAAGGACATGCAGCCCATCTGCATAGGAATCGTACGTCAGACCAGCAAATCGATGAGTGTTAGATGGATGTCGATGTACTTACGATTGGAACTGAGACTCTGAGGCCTGACTTGCCGAGCTGGCGGTACTCTACATTGGAGTTTGCCATGGCGGTCGTGATGGCGGGGGTGGTGGTTAATACGGTGGAAGGGGATGTGGGTAAGCGTGCTTATGTACTGCCCAGAACCCATACCACATATTGTATGAAGTGCCGTACAGCAACTGGCCAGAAGACTACCTTACTTGGGGATCACTATCAGATTCGCTGACTCGAGGAAATCGAACGAACTGGCTCACGAGAAAGCTTTGGGATCATTGAGTCGACATCAGCGGTTAGTTCTATGGGCTAATCCATCAAACCTTCTTGCAGGGCCGTGGCTAGATCATTAGTAAACCACCCTCAGCCCACGCGTTGTCCGTGATGCGCGTCGGAGTCCATGAATAGCGCAGCATAATGACTATCATGAAGGATTCTCCCAGGTTCATCGATGTTTTGGTTGTTGTTTCATCTCCACTGCATGCTCAACGTTGACTAATGATAAGTAACAGTCTGTCGCTGCGCTTCATCTCGTGAGCCTGACTCGTACAGTACGACTCATTTCCTTCGTTCTCATTCCTACATCCAATGTTACCGTCTTATATACGAGGAAAAGGGGGCCACTTTAATCTTAGGGATCGTTCAATCATTGGGCCTATTTGTGTATGCTTGCCACGGTGGTCATGTGGAGGTTCTGGTCCCTGTGATGGAGGTTTCCTACCTTCGAAACCGGAACAAGCATAAGAGACCGCGGTGTAGGATATGTAGTTGCAATCCACACATGCATTAGGTCACTTTTTCATTGCGGTTCAGGGTTGCCTGGGAGGCGGCTTCAAACCTTCTGCTTCGGTATCTATGTGGATTTCTGCGAACTCGAAGGCTGGCTCCTGGTTTTGGCGGCCATGATCCTCCCTCACCTTCAATACCCTAGGGTCTTACAGAACTTATAAGACAAGTTGTCCGCAAACCTTGTCTGCCCATTCGATAAAACACATCGATCCGAAAGGGTTCTTGTCAGGCATCCCCACGCAAATTCTTGTCTCTGGATTCTACCGTTTTCATTTTTACCCACACCCTGCACCTCCCTTACCCTGCATCACAATACACGTTTTCTTTTTCGGGTGCCAGAGTTGTGCGCAGCTGATGAGATCACCAGGTTCGTCAGCACGCTCCGTCCTCCGCGCTCGTGAAGACGCTTTGCCATCTCCCTGTGGCCTCATGACCCTCATAACTATCCTATCTACAATGATCCCTTTCATGGTCCACGTCAACATACAGCTTGTCCGACGCCGCTGAACACTTCAGAAGATGCGTAGCAACCCCATCATATTCACTGTCCAATGCAGTCATGAAACTGTTTTCTTTACTTCTTCCCCATCACCACGAAATCTCTGAATGCCATGCCCTGTTCTCTATCTTGGTGACCCTAGCGAGGATCCGCTTCATTTGTCAAATCTTCAGTTGAGGCATGCAGCAAAATGATTTAGGTTGTCCGCGCTGCAAGATTTTGTTGCCCGCCGCGAGCAAATCGCTCAATAATTTGTTTGATTCTTGTGGAATGCTCCCGATTAAGCCCTTCGTAATAAATAACCATGTTGGCAACACCCAAAATTCCAATCACAACCTGATGCTATGGATGGCAATCCTGACCAACTGACCCGTTCGACTGACATGAGGACCTCATACGTGGTACTGCGCAGAATCATTTCTCTGCATCTGCAGTGCGAGGGTTATATCGGTTTCTGAAGGATTAATGGCTCCAAGGACTTACCTCGAAGCTTTCCTCACGCGCCTTCGTTGACCCCATGGTAAAATTAACCTTTCGTCGAGTAGTGAGATGCGAGGGTGGGCATATGACAGGAGGTGATACGTACAAGTGTGCGGCTTAATCCACTAGATGTTTTCAACCTGGGATTTGAGGGTGCACTTGGAACCTGGTATGGTTCGCGCGCGTCAGTGCTGCTCACGAATCGACGGACGTTGAGGCTAGCGAGAAGCATATTGCAGTACAGCGTGCACAGCGGGAAATAGAACCCGCTAAACACTAGGTCTTGCGGGAGTGTTACCAACTGGATATTGTCGTTGGTGGAACTATTGTGCGAAGAACACGAGCACTTACTAGTATAACCGCGAGCAACCCAAAGAGAGCCGTCCAGATACCAGTGTTAACAGAGACGATGATCAGCCGAAGGAGCATGCGATCTGTCCTGAAGAACACCTCAACACGTAGAAAAATAGCAGGGTAAAGATACCTACCTCCCGCTGAAACCAGTACGTCCCATAGCGAGGAGCACGCACAACATGACTGCAATAGTAATGTCAACTGCTGCTGCAGTTCCATTGGACGCATTGGCGACTGTCTGAAAGCGATTTCGTGAGTGTGCTGAGAAAATGAGCTATAGATATGCTCCATACTGTAAGAAGGGGTCCAGATACAGCTTCAATGGCTGGGGTGATCAATCCTTTCACTGTGTAATCTGATGGTGTCAACGATCAGATTATTCTGAACGCATCGTGATCGTGAAGCTCACTAACAAATGCTCAGAACTGTAACATCACGGGAGTTAACCAAGTAGGTGCAGTGAAGGAAAGTTGTGCATACCCGGTTGGGCAGTGACAAAGGGCATCAAAATGAGTGGAATAATCCACTTGAAATGGCCCGTGCTCACTGAATAAGGATATTTGTCAACGCAGCAGATAACTGGCTGTGCCAGTACGTACATGACCATATCCTCCATATGAAGAAAGATTGGACAACGAAAGAAACCAACGACTATAATTATGTAATAAGATCGCTCCACTCGTCCATGGAACAATCAAGTACTCACTGTAACTACTGTAGCCAACAACAAAGGACTAAGGCAGTACGTTAGCACTTTCCAGGCGAAAAAGAAGACAACTTGATGGTTGATACGCACGGGTGCATCACCGCGAGGTTGGCAAAATCTCCATAGTACTGAACAAGATATGACCACACTGCACGGAATTTCAGGTGAGATCTCATTTCAACACCACCCAGGCGGACTTACGGCCAGCACAAGCCAAGAACTGGTGTAGCGTGTCTAGTAATAGCACGACAGCAACCTACTGACCGTATGCTCAACTATCAATAGAAAATCTGAAAGATCGATCAGACGAACCAGTAATTTCAGTGGTGTCCGGTCTTTCGGATACCTATTGCAATGCCAGACAATCCAAGTAGTCAGTAGACATAACCAACTCATACAAGGAGTACATACTGCACATAGTAGATGAAGCTAAACATACAGGGATCAGTGAATGAAATCGATTCGATTCGTGCAGGTAGCAAGCAGTACATACGTTTGCAGGATGCTGACACCGTAAAGTATCAACGAAGCGAATGTCCCCGCAAGCAGCGAACCCCAGCTGAGGCTAAGGTCGATACTGGCCGTTGGAACAGCGGTGGACATCTTGACGAGGGGAAAGTGGAAAGCAGGGAAGCGACGTGTCGGGCAGTCCCGTGCTAGGGTCTTATCCGCATTCGAAACATCTCCGATTTATGTACAGCATCAGTGGTATCGAGCTAATGCAGCTACCACTTCTGGCAATATGTCCATCGCTGTCCAACATAGCCTCGACTACTGATCATGGGAAATCCTGATACTGACTTACATACCTCATTCCAAATATTCTCGTCATTCCCTTCCGGGAATAGCGGGATGTCGTAGTCCTGTACCTCAAACTGGTCACTAGAAGGATTGCACAGGCCTTGATGCCATAGGAAGCACGAGCACGACTCGTTCACGGGCCAAACAGCTTAACACTTTTCGAGAATCACTTGGTGGCATATGGGCGCGGTACCCAAATGTCACACGCACCATTGCCGGCACGGAACTGCAAACCGAACAGTTTAGTCGACTCCCCCTTGAAAAGGCTCGTACGTGTAGTACACGGCCCAAACGGCTCAAGCGACATACGCAACCAGAATGGGATATTCGAACCCCCCGAATGATACCCACGACACGGCGCCTCGAACTAGAATGGCTTTGGAAGGCTCACCTGCATCTGCTCCCCAACGGCAGGCTTCTTTCCGATGATATGATCAATCTCCTTCAAAATCGTAGACTAGTGGCTCGGTTTCCGAATCTTGATCCGAAGGTAAGGCCCGGTGCTGCATTTGGTCCACAAACTCGCTTATCGTCATGTTCCCTTCCACAGTTGATGGCATCAATCGATTGAATTGTCTGCCGGCGAGGTCCTACATAATGTTGTGGGTGAATACTGTGTGCGGGCGCAACTCGCCGCGATGGTGAACCGCATTGAATCGAAGTGGCTAAGCGAGCCAATTTGATTCTATTTTTCGGATGACGTAACGAGGTGAGTTCAGGAAAGTTCGCGAGGTGACAAAGCCCTAGGTGCCATCTATCGATGCGGCAGCCAGGACTGGCAGTTCATCAAGCCAGAAACCGTGCAATCCGCTGTTGGTGAGGTCCAGCATGTCTTGCACCATGTATATCTCATTTGTCTTCTCCATGGCTGGGACCCTCACACTTTGAGTGTACGGATGGAAGTTTCATGACGTGCTCAAGGTCCTCGTTTATTTGGTGCGGCGTGAACTGTGCGCATTGCGGGCGGGCCTCAGCGTGATTACCCTCGCATGTAACCTCGTCCATCTAGTGGTACTAAATAACCTTGTGTGGCTCATGTACGTACTTGACATCTGCTGGATTTCATACTGTGGCCTACCTTGGCACTTGTTGACATGCATGGAAACTATCCTTGTTACGCTTCTCCTTTCACGGAGTCCTAAGTCTGTTTATTTGATGCTTGTCCCCTCGCAACGGTCTGGATGAGCCCACTGCATAATGACTCGCTAGTAGGTATAAACAAGACATGACCAACGACATAGATACTTCAAGCTGTGGCCTTCAAGAGCTGCGGACGAGGCTTGCAACGCCCTTGGGACGGTGTAGCGCAGACTTCCTAAATCCTACTTCGGACAGACCTCGCGGGGTGAACAAAGTGTGTCGAACTGCCACTTCGGGAGGTACACTTCGATCCACCTTGAACTGAGTTTGGCTCGACAGCAACACCATTACTACTGACAGCCAGTCGTACGTTTCAACATAATGATACATGTACAGGTAATCGTGGCCCCAACTCTTCTTGACCTTGAACCACAGGCTGCAGACTCGACGCGACTTTATCAATAACCCTTACGCCTGTGTCTTTGAACTCGAACCGGCGAACCAAAGTAAGGAGGATAACCTTGAATTGAAGTATAGCTTCGGATCTTGTCAGTAACGTCGCCCTGAGATGATGTGTTGGTTTGTCGCACCAAATTTGTACCCTATACAGATTCGAGGGCCATCGCTGAAGGTCAGCATACGCGACCACCCTGTGGAACAAAGATCCTTTGGTGGCAAATCGCCCATCCACCGATCAGGGCGAAACTTCTTGCCGTCACCCCAAACGGAGCACATCGTATTGATAGTTGTGATGGGAATGATTACTGTCTATATGCAGTGGGATCACGATGCCAGTCTTCACGCCAAACTTTATCAAGGAGCGTACCTGTCCGGCGGCTATCGGAATTGAGGATAATTCCTGTCCTTGTTTCCCAGTGATAGGATGGCGCAGGGGCAGTACATCTTCCTTCGACGAAATTCGTTCCATGTATGGCAATGCAGGGTGGAGCCGGAGACTACGATGAGTGAGCATGGGTCACGTTAACGGAAGTGACGCTAAACTTACACTTCCCGAGTCACAGCATCAAGGTACGGGAGTTGCGTTTGCAAGTCATCATATGATGGTGAGCCATGATAAGCCATAACTTCCTCTCTTAGGCGTGTTTGAACGTGTGGGTTGAGAGCGAGTTCCCATATTGCGTAGGCGAGGGACTGTGCCGTCGTTTCTGATCCTGCCATGCTAGAAAACTATCGGTAAGCATAGGCTGCGAGAGAGCAAGATGGGTCGCACATGAACATACTAATCTGCGATGTTCCGAAAGAAAGTTAGCAGGTCAAATCAGCCTCAATGTCGTGAAACCTTACATGATCCATAAGTTCGTCCGTCCCAATTGACCCAGCTTCGTGAGCAGAGACTGAGAGAATCAGGAATCACACTCATGTGGGAACAACTAAAGAGTACTGACTCAATCTTGCGAGAAGATCATTGTCTCTGATTCTCAAGTCCGTATTTGCATTGCGGCGAAGGAGTTCCTTTGCTACACCCTCATGGATTGTTTTACGGACATCACCTTGAACACGAAGTGCCTTCAGCGGCAGACTATTGAATATTGGGAAACGGCGGAGCATCATCACGGCCTGGGTCGTGTCAGCTTGAAAGGGACAAATGGATGGCAAAAAAAAAAAATACCATGGGGCCCACTCGAGACACCCCCATAGCTGCCATAGTCCTCCAGACCCCTAGGATTTTCTGAGCATCACCATTGCGTCCACCACCAAAATCATGTCCGAATCCAAGACGGCCGATCGCTTCCAATCTATATGACTCAATTAGTATTGTCGCTAGAGTGATACTTGCGATAGGGAAATCACGTTGCTTGATTAACCCAGTCAACGATGCTCACGACGGTTGAGCCACCGTGCTCTAAAAGATGCACTTCGAGGTTGTCCGCAAGCTGTTTGCGGATCAGCCAAGAAGGAATGGTATATGACCTAAACGTACTTTTTCTGCAGCTCCATATGTATCGGCGGTACCACTTCGCAATGCGTCAGGAGCCAGAGATGGTGCTACGAGATTGCGCATTCGCTTATGCTCTGTTTCGCCTTCAACCCAGCCCAGGGATTTCCCAAGAAGCCTAGCAATGCGAGGCCGTACCACATCACTATGAGCTATTGGGCCATGAAAGGTCATTTCAGGCCAGTTTCAAAGGCGACTACGGCACGACTTGACTTACGATAATCGTAAACATGTCTTTGCATGATGTGTGTTGCCGCGAGTGGATCTGCCACAACGAGCTATTCAGGAGAGCATCAGATGGTCACACACCCTCATTCTATACATCTGAAAAATCCTCACAATGTCAGGTTTAAATAAGGCTCCGTGAATCTTGATAGTTTGCGAATGTAGCTGGTCCATCCATTGTGCGTACGCCTCTCCTACAGACACTTGTGAAACCATCCTCTCGTGGCCCCACAATAATGAGGCACCGCCCTGGGAAAAGGGTTCAGAGTGTGTAAAGCAGTTGTAGGTTTCCTTGGAGAGCTCACTGGCATTGGGACATCACGGAGTAACTCCTGAGAACGTCTTCTGCCTTCGGAGAGACAAATGAAGACCGCAACGGCCAAAATAGTAGTACAGCTTGCGGTAGTCCATAGCTCGACGTTCATTGAGATGAATAACAGCGAGGATACGACAAGGTGAAATTCAATTGAATGAGCGCGCACCGTAAGCCCAGTATATGGGCCATTAGAAAGGCTGTCCTTGTAATCTAGTAGTGTCTTGATCAACTTCTGATTGACGCCGACTTTGATCGCTCCAGGCCGACGGGCCTTCACATGTGACAGTAGAGTACGCCGTAAATAAAATTTACCGCAAGTCGTCGATAGGCATGGAAATCGCAAATCTAAAAATACAAAGCGAGCCATCCAGTGGCGGGGCTGCGAGTCCATCGACATCATGCACTACACTGTCGAAAGGAACAAGGACACAGATCGAATCGACTACAGCCTGCACGCACAGAGCTTGACCCCGACTTTGGTCAGTTACTTAACTGTGACGTACTCTAGTGCATAGCTCAATCAGTGGCCCATCTAGGTGTCTCGCAATGCGGTAGATTCGGAGTAACACGGTGGCCATGCTTGGCGTACACTGCCAGACACTAGAAGCCACTGTACCGGATTCGTTCGTTCAACGAAATCGAACGAGCCGGCCCACACGGATGCTCTGGAGTCATTGTGTCAAGTCACCATAGCATCATGCCATCAGGAGTCGGTTCTATGGATTGATACATCAAGCGTTTGCTACACGTTTTCCGAGAATTTCGGACCGTGGGTAAAGCGCAGAAGCCTATCTGCAAAACTACCCGAGGGAGTGAGCAGGTTATACCTGCCTCCGTTTGGAAGTGACTTGTCGCAAGACTCGCTAAGACACTTGTTGGCCAATGAGAGAGCTCGCTCAAGTGCGGAAGAGCTGTTAACAGCCGCGTCGCGTAGCTGTTTCCCAGATGAGACATAAGAGTATTTTGATCGTGAAATGAAATTTGACGGCAAACTCTCACCGGATTTGCCTTTTGCGATGTGATGCTTCCTCTGGCGGAAGCAAATTTTTAGATTTGTTTTTACATGGTGCTATACTTAGGACCAGGCGGTGGGCCCAATATTATTATTTGTTTATCAGTTCGTCTCCTACTAGTACTATTATATAATTTATCAACCGACTTGACTACTGAGATAGAGAGGCGACGAGCACTGCTCATACCCAGTCACCAAATCAGTATCCTGGAACGAGCGTTCATAGGCAATACATGTGCTGCCAGCAGCCACACCTACGGAGCCCGCCATCAATGAATGGTTTAAGGCACAATCTAAATTACGTCACGACTCACGTTGTATAATAAATATGACGATTGATCGTGCTGTACATCCCTGAATCGAAAGTACTGGCTTCCAACGAATAGTCCCATCACGAGGAAGAGTGTACCACACATCGGTCCGAGATCCCAAAGCGCGGAAAGAACGATTGACCACACGGGAAGAGCGGTTAGCATGTATAGACGTGATCCTTCGGGAGCAACGATAGGAAGTGTTCGGCGGCCTGAAAGGCGATCACCATCGGCATCTGCGAAATCTTGAGCGTGAATGGTTGTAAATATTAAGAGGCCACTGCTGAGTAAGGCCACAAGTGAGGTGTGATCGACAGACGTCTTAGAAGCTATGTGAGAAGTTCAGACAATGAGATCTCTCGAGACATACTAATCGAACTTACAGAGAATCAAAATGGCACCTGACTCAAATGTCAGATACCCACCAACATTGCAGAGATTCTTAAGGACAGGGTCTGAGCTGAAACCGAAGTCGTCATGGAAGATCTCCACTAATGAAAGTCCCGTACTAGCCAAGAGGACTCCAGCACCGTGCCATGCAGAAAGACATAAGCAAACGACGAGCAGGAACCAGCGAAATCGCCGGGCTTCGTCGGCCGTCATCCTGCCAGATGGCAAAGGACGCCACGGCTTGTTAATGACATCCTCATGGGCTGAGTAGGTTTGATTGGATACGTTGGCTTGTAATAGGTGAATCCACACCCATATAGCCGTATGAATGAGTTGTTTTGCTCCTGTAGAAGGTGCAGTCGCCGTGGCAAAAATGATCTATTCACTACAAGGTTACTCTTTCAAGCTAATCACAGCAGAATAGAACTGACCACTGGGAAGAAGATTGTCTTATAATCGGACCGGGTGAATAAGAATATTGTCTCGAGGTAGGAGGCGAGCCTAGGGAATGAAATGCGAGCCTCAGACATTGTCGCGATGAAGACAGGATACAGCGGGATATGAGAGATTCAACCACCATGTCCACTAGTATATCTTAGCTGCGATAGCCGTGCAGACCTGTGGAACATGACGACTGGCACCACGCAGCCCTGAGAGCCAGATCTCGTTACGATATATAACATTAAATTATCCTGTGGCTGGCACAAAAACTGCCCCGCACTTGTTGAGCCACATCAGTTCTAGTGCCTCGCATGCATTGATGGCTCGGCGCTTGCACCGCATGGATCGTGGCACATCAGATCTGCGATGAATCCGATCAGTTTAAGGTTATCAGACTATACAGCGGGTGGGACGACAATCTTACCACTGACACTAACAGACTTCACACGGCAAGCAATGAATACGACTCAGACATGCTCAAACATGGAAGACGGCAGTTCGAAGCAGTGTCATCGGATTATGCTACGTAGTTGTGCCAAAGTGCTCGTTGCCAAAGTACGCAAGTTCATCATTCATTCTTAGGACATCCTTCAGCTCTTGGTCGCGGACCTGCAATCGGCAAGTGAAAGGCAGCGGTTGACTATGTGTGCCACTTAGTAATAGCAATGAACAAGTCGTTGATTGGACCCACGATGCGAACGAACTAGTGAAACCCACTGTCGGAACCTGTTCCGTGCCATCCGGGCCGATAGGAGGCAAAATCCGAAAAAGAGCCAAGACACGAGAAATGACAAGAAACGTATGAGCATTGGCAAAATGGACACCTGGACAGGCCCTGCATCACACAATTGCACTTGAGAATGGCAAAGGACACCAAGTGTAAGTGCTACCTTCTTCCAAAACCGAATGTGAAACGCCTCGGATCAGTGGCAGTGAAGTCAAGATGGCGCTCAGGATAAAACATATCAACGTCCGAATATAAGGTTGCATCGTGCGTCATAGACCTGACGAGACTCAGCAACGTAATGTGGGATTATCTTTAGACTCACCAAACATTACACAGTACCCATGCTTTTCGAGGAATGCGGTAATCTTCATACTCATCATCAACAAGTGGACTATGAGAAACGAGATTAACAACAGGGTTATATCTGTGAATCTCCCTGATGAGAGCCTCGATGTAGGGAAGGCGATGCTGGTCTTCGAGCGTTGGCAGTCGCGATGAGCCCAAAAGGGACATGATCTCATCCTGAGCTCTCTTCTGGACATCCTGGTGCACTGTCATCAGCAGGAAGAAGGAAAATAGAAATGCTGCCGTCTGATATATGTTAGTAAGCTCGCAAGCTCGCAGTTTGCAAACGCACGGTATCAGTCCCAGCTGAACGAAGCAATTAGCAATATACAACACATGCAGGAAGTACTTACCACCATAGATACTGCCCGCAGAAGCCATGAGAATGTTTTCGTCGGCCGGATTAGAACCATCAAAGATCGCCTTCAGGTTGTCTGCGACATATGAAGGAGAAGCTGTGTCGTTCAGCTTTGAAATATGAATCCTCAGATGAGGGTCCTCGCCAAGAGTGACGACTACTCACAACTGCAGATCGAGTTAACAGATATGGTACCCGTGTGCATTGGTAGAACTTTTCTCTAGCCATCTTTGCCCAGCGCTTGAAGCCCATCCCAGGGAGCCATGAAGGAAGTATAGTCACTGGAGATCAAAGCTCAGATGGTCTACTATGTCTCTCCTAAAAGTGACGCTGGGATTGACGTACGGAAGGGAAATGAGTCCACAGCCCATCCTGGTTGCAACGCCAACCCTGTGTGCTGGGCGATCTCTTCGGCCAAGTGTACATACTCTTCAGTTGCATCTGACCCATACGTGAACCGGACGAATACGGAAGCTACGTGCCTGCAGTATATTAAGCTCGATCGGAACTCGGACAAAAAACAGAACAGGTGTGCTACCTTTTCAACAGATGCTCCCAGTCCTGGCTCGATTCCGTAAGTTGCTTTAGCAGCGTTAGAGTCTGCTCCTCCAACATAGTGCCCCAGACGGCTTTATTTTGCAGTCCCAACCCCGAGTGCAGCAGCCTCCTTGCCATCCTGAGCTTTTCGCTGTAGTATGTGAATCCCACATTGTCCTGACGGCCGATTAGGTCTGCCATTGCCCACGTAGGGCGATCGGCGTATATCTTGGAACGCTTTTCGAGTAAGTCCTCTGCTATCTGTGCGCCATTGAAAACGACGATATCCCTGCCGAAAAGACGGAGAAAGATCACATTTCCTGCAGGGCTTTCAACACTAAGGTCACGGAAGATAAATTTGGACACACCCCATTTCTGCGACCACTGCTGGTACGTCTTCCATGGGTAAGCACGAGGAATTTCTCTTAGATGCCCGGTAAAGAAGGAACGCGGTGGTCCTAATCCATCGTTGGTGAAACCCTCAGACCTGAAACGGTAAATGGACTTGCCTGGCGGTAACGGTTTTCTACGACGACAGGTATAAGCTGTCAGGATTGCGACAGACAAACAAAACAGGGTCGTAGTAGCTGTGATATTAGTGTATTCGTACGCCATGTTATACAGAAGAGAGAATTGCGATTACAATTGTGCAGCAGGATGACGAGACGCCGAGGAGTGCTGAAAGGATTACACCCACTGCCAGGCGAAACTAATATCCTGTGAGTTCATTGGCACTGCGTTAGCAGGCGCTTGATATCGAGTCGCTTACGGTCATTCTGGCCAACAAGAGACACATTGTATCACGTACTATTCTAGTTCGATCCTGGTGCTATGTAGACATTTTGGGAAAGTGGTGGGAATGCGAGTGGAGGCTTCCTTCTGAATGCTGTCCGAGACATCAATTGATGTGATATCAAGTTGATGAAGGCACCAAGCCCCCGGAAAGTCGAACCAGTTGAATTCCTCTTTCGAACCGTACGTAACGAGTCGACGTCGTCTTGAAGCAGCTCGAGGATCATAAGTACGAGTATGACTTGCTCGTGATTCGTCAAGGAGATCAGACAACTCGTACTAGTCGTCGGCTCATTGACCCGCTTTCTAGACCGCCCGCAAAGGTTGTTACTGCATGTTCGCTGACTCTGTGGTCATCGCTATCGTCGTTCTGATCGTATGGCTCTGGAGACGACGAATCTTTGTACAGCGACGTTCGAAAGGCTTTCCACTACCCCCCGGGCCCCGCAGAAAGCCTCTCATAGGCAATCTGCTCGACATACCACGATTCTGCGCTTGGCACAAGTTTCTGGAGTGGAAGGAACAGTATGGTGCGAGACCCATATAAGATAGACGTTGTGTGTGACTCACGAATCCCTCTCTAGGCGAACTTGTCTATGTGGAGGTACTCGGCAGCCAAATTCTCGTTCTGAACTCACTCGAAGCCGTATCGGATTTGCTCGAATCGAGACCAGCAAATTATTCCGATCGCCCAACGTTCACCATGCTCGGTGAACTTATGAAACTGGATAACGTACGTCTGTCTTTATGGCACCTTTCTATGGGCTAACCGTACCTCCTCCAGAGTATGCCGTTGCTTCAATACAGTGATCCATCTTGGAAAAAGCAAAGAAAGGTTGCACATCTCGCTCTCAGTCCTGAGGCTGTGAGAACGTATGACCTGGTTGCCGACAACGTCGTAAAATACGTGGACAGCTTATTGGACAAACCCGACGACTTTGCTCCACAACTCCGTCTGTAAGTTTTCTACCGTTGGCCTCGTATATCCTACTGAGAGACCTGCAAACTTTAGTGCGACCGGGCGTATAATCATGTCCGTAATCTATGGTTTACCGGTAGATACGCCAGATGACCTGGTAAGGGCTTCTCTCAAACTAAATTATCTTGAATAAATTTGCTACTAGTATATAACTCACGCGGAGAGCACCATGGAAATGATCGGAAAAGCAATGGTCCCAGGGACGTTTCTGGTCGATCTCATTCCACCATGTGAGGCAACCTTGGTTTTCACACGTGTTTTTAGCTAACTCTGCATGCCTAGTAAAGCACCTGCCTGCTTGGCTTCCATTCAATAACATCCATAAAGTAGCCGCCAGTGGTCGGGCTCAAATTCTTGAACTGGTGACCCGCCCGTATGAGCACGTCAAGCGGGAAAGAGAACGGGGCACCGCTCATTCTTCTTTCACCTCCGACTGTCTGGACAAGAGCGAGGCCAGTGACCCTACCGCGCGAGCCGAGATGGAACATGTTATCCTATGGGCAGCAGGATCAATGTATGGTGGTAAGTGATGTTGCGTGTATAAATAGAAGTTTTATCCTAACAAGCTACCTAGCCGGAGGTGAAAGCGTAAGTTACTTGGGTATGTGCCCGACGTCCCTCTAACACGAGGCTTGACGATAGTCATATTCAACCACAATGAGCTTTATTCTCGCTATGGCCATGTTTCCTCAAGTTCAAGCAAAGCTGAAAGAGGAGGTGCTGAGAGTTGTTGGAGACGATCGTCTCCCAACTCTCCATGATCGAGATTCAATGCCGTACATGAACGCGGCTGTCAAGGAAGCTACACGGTGGAGACCTGCGCTCCCTCTCAGCATCGCGCGGAGAACGAAAACTGCAGACTTCTATAAAGGTCTTTCGTTTACTTTTGCAGTCTTTACCCGGTATATTCACCGTTTATCCAGGATATTATATTCCTGAAGACACGATTGTCCTTCCCAATGTATGGTATGGCTCTAGTCCGCCTTGATTCCGAATGAGGTTCGTCATCCATTTCCAGGGCAATTTCTAAAGACGACAAGAGCGGTATATCACCTGAAGAGTTTGCTCCAGAGCGTCATCTGGCAGGCTGCGTCAAAGAGACTTCAATAGATCCGTACTCATATGTCTTCGGCTTTGGACGCAGGTACAGATGCCGAGCTCGAATTTAAGGTCATATCATAACTGAGTCCACACCTCAGAGTCTGCCCAGGCAAATATTTAGGTGACAACATACTCTTCTTACTCCTCTCCAATATCGTGTTCGCCGTCAATATCTCGAAGAAATTGGATGCCAACGGAAAAGAGATTCCTTTACCCCCCTCATATAGTCCGGGGCTCGTTAGGTGAGTGGTCCCCACCCTCGTTAGAACAAACAAGCCAAATTAAACGTGGCAAACAATTACTCAGTTTCCCGGAACACTTTGAGGTGAATATATCGCCTTCGTCGAAGGCGGCCATCTCCGTGATTAAGGAGAGGGTGGTCCAGTTTTCCTGAAGTGTTGGAGGAGGTTCATCATACATTTCAAGGTGTGTATGACATGCTTAAAGTTCCATGCTCTTGTAAAATTACAACCGACTCTGTAAATTTTGTAGAGGTTTCACAAGATCTTCAAGAGTTCGAACAGGTATTGCGCTGTCTGTGTAAATGATGGTACTTGCGGCTGAGCCAAATCACGTTGGGGGACCAAATAGAAGATTTGCAACCTAGTACATATTCAGGCTTGTGTGTAGCTAACCATGTCTTCTGTGTTCAACTTCATGTAAGGGAGTATGATAAACTGGGCTGATGATAAACGGGTGACTCGGTGTCGGGTTATGACAACTCGATATCAGCAAATACGACAAACGAGTGATTAGGTAAAGCAAGTAGGATGTAGGTAGGCGCGGAAGATAGTGCTCACGTCAGTGTCGGTTTATGATGACTGAGGTGGTTAACATCTACTGGGCGAGTACAGGTACTAGACAACGTGTAAGATGTGTATTCTCGCTAGGGTACACTCGGAACGGAAATGAAGAGAAAATAAGATGTGTTAGTATGTACTTAGACTCGTTGCCTGCGGCGTGATCCCCTCCAAACGCTCCACCCATCCTCAGAAAGACTTTCAATGTCGTGCTAAACTACTGAACAGCAGATTTGATTAGGTCCGCGGCCTAGACTGAAGTTAATATATCATTAGAAAGCAGTGCTCAGGTTCGCGACTGGCCTTTTCTGCGATCGCATAAACCGTTGCTTGCAAATGTGAGGCAATTTGGGAGGGAAAGACACTGACATCGACCACGCGGAGGTTCGAAGTACCGTAAACCTTCAAATGAGGGTCTACGACACCTCCGAGTGACCGGCTGGCCATGGTAGCGGTGCCCATTATGTGGTCCCCAATAGCAAAGGTCTCGCGAATATAGGCAACAAGATCAGAATCTGTTAAGTTGGGAGGGGGCAGAATCTGGGCTGTAATATATGAAGACAAAGGCTCCGTGGCCACAATCTTGTTGTTAAAGGTGAAGAGGTCCAGGAGGAGCTGGACGTCTAGGTGGACTTCAATATGTGTTCATAGCGTACGACATGGAACATGGGCACACCAAAATCAGCAGTGAGAAAATTGGATACAATGACTGGGGGTGCCAGAGCATTTGTTGTGTTGATGTGCTACATAGCCATGGATCAAACAATACAATACTTGACTTGGAATGCACATGCTTACGACGGAGCCACGACTGACAGGATGCTACGACTGTTGTTAACCAGTAAATATTTATCTGGACTTCAACGTACCATAACCCCGCTCAGTAGAGACATGTAATGCTTTCCTGGGACCGTTTCAACTAGCCCTCCGGCGATTTGAATGATCTCCATCTGAGGTACAGTCCCGTTGGTGAGCCATGAGCGCTGGAACCCCAACTGCGCTTTGACAAGGGGTGAAGCTGAGCCAGTACTCTCCAGCAATTGTACCGATTGGTCGAACGTATCCAGAAGAGAAGATGCCTCTGTTTCATTAAGGAACCCGTCCAATGGAAGGAAGAGGAAAGCGCAATTCGTTGCTGCCAGCCAGCCTTGACGAGTCTTGTTGCTGATTGGATCGGATCAACGAGGCAGGGTCTAGACAATAGTAAGCTTTCACTCACTATATTGCTTCCTGCATACTAGCGAAGGTAGCATTCCCAAAGTCATCTAGGATACGTTGTATTCAGTGCAGTGAACCGCGAAGGCGATAAATGTCACGAACCAAAAGTGATGCCTCGGAAGGTATCCGTCAGTTCGTACTGGGTGGTGATGAAGACGTGCTCCTGAAGATTTTCACCGACACCTGGTAGATCAATAAGAGGATTTATGCCTAAGTTCTTGAGGAGAGTCGCGTTTCCGACCCCTATTATCATTTGTCAGCTACTACACCATTCGTGTACAAGGATCAACGCACCGGAGAGCTCCAGCAATTGAGGCGTCTTTAACACGCCGGTACTTAAAACAATCTCCCTTGTTGCATTCACAACATATTGGCTACCGCCGGATATGAAGACTACCCCTGTAGCTATTAGATTGCTGGTACTGTTGTCGAAGAGAACTCTAGTGACAGTAGCGCCGGACAAGACATGGAGATTGGGACGCTTGGCGGAGGGACAATAGTAACCGGTCGCCGAGTCGGAACGCGACCCACTGTTTCGATCAACAGCTACGAGGGCATTCCAAATTCCTGAAGTGTTGCCATCCAAGGGGTTACGGTTTATCGAGACGCCGAGTTGCTCCAACGCATCGATGTAAGGTGGAATAATGCCACTGTACTCCGCATTAAGGGAAGTCTGTATTATAGAGGTCCATTTAGCTAAATCAGGAAATATCAGTAGTCAGAGCTTACTGCAATAGGACCATAAAAGCCATTTTGATCGTAGGAGGTAGAGAAGCCCGAAAGCCCGGGCTCGGGGTTGGCCTCTCTCATTTGACTCTTTAGGAAGTACGGAAGAAGACTATTCCAGTCCCAACCACCAGAATAGTCGTTAAGAGAGTCCCATGTAGCATATTCAGGAATCGATGCACGAGTCCACGCCATACCATTGATCGCACCTGGTTCCATGGTCAGTTCACAAAATGGAGAGGGTAGACACCAAGACGTGCTCGAGCCTCCTAACAACTTTCCTCGGGGTGTCTCTATCGAGCGATTTCCTGTGCTGATCTGCGGGACTGTGGACAACATCCAATCATACTCTGGATGAAATACCGCATTATTTTCGAAGACTACACAAACGTGAGACTTATATCTTAACAATAGGTAGAAGCATACATGGAACAGAAATATTGGAATCGGGGATATGCAAGTAACCAGCTTCAATCACTCCCACATTGAAGCTAGTGTCTTCTGCAAGACGAGTTGCGACGGTCAATCCAGCTGTTCCTCCTCCTGTTCCAACGTGAGTAAATCACCGGTAATGACTTCAAGGAGTTTATGCGAACTGACCGATGACGAGGTAGTCATACGTCTTTGCAAGGAATTCATCTGCAGACGAAAGAGGTGCTGGACATTGTGCAATGACAAGGGGAAAACAGAAGACGAGCGAAAACAAGATATGCACCCTGAGCATGGTGACCCTCAGCGCTGAGTTCAGTGTAACAGTAGGTAAAACACTGAACCTTCAAGTTATGTAGAGGCTCAGACTCTCGCACCATCTTTCATATCTCACGTTACGCTATTGAACATCATCATGTCAGTTCATCGGTCTTAGTGGCTGTGGCTGGCTATAGCCATACTGCAATGTGAACCAGTGCGTACCTTGCATATCGGCAAGCTCGGTTCTCTTCTCGTAAATAGCTATGTAGCAGCCATCATTACTACTAATACCTGTTCCCACCCATCGATGGGCCACACGGGCCTTTCCGACCACAATTGCACAGGCCCGATGATCATGCTAATCATGCCGCGTTGATGGCCAGATGGCGGTCGACGGGGAACAAAGGATCGGGTGTCAACATTTCGACAATCATTCTATTTCACTGCTTAGGCTCGAAGCTGTTGTTGGTCACCTGTTTGGTCTCTATCAAGGTGGCCGCATGTATTAAGGGCGAAATGTATCGCAAGCCGGCGCATCCCTGGATGTCGTCAGGTGGATACTTTACCAGCACGTCTGTAGATTCTGGAACGTGTGATGGATTTGGTTGAACATTTACCGACAAGAAACTACTTGGAAACAAGAGGATTTCGTTGCGTGCTTCATATCTTCAGGACTGCACTGTCGTGAATGGTTATATGATCTCCACATATTGTCTACTTCCCCTTAAAACAGTCTTCGTCTGTACGCGGGCCCGAATATTGCACTATATATATCTCGTGATCACCCCCTATAAGCTCCCCAAGATCTAAGCCACCACGAGACGTCCTGTCTACTAATCTGAGGGGAATCCCGAAGCGTTTCAGAACATTGCAGTCCGTTTTTGAGATCCATTTCGATAGGCCGACCTGCAATATCTTCCATGATGCCGTTGAGAAGGGACGAAACGCGATCTAGGCGGCCTCGCGCATCCGTAGGTGTATCCTTCAAGACAGTGTTCAGACGGCTGAACCAATCCTCGAGGTCGACGATGGGAATTTGAAGTAAAGCTGCCACTTCCTGGAGAACCAAGTTGGAAGGAACTGGCCGTGGATTGGCAAGGTGAACGTAACGATGAAGGTTGGACCTCATCTCAACAATCACAGCGGCAGTTGAGTCAACCGGAAGCCAGTGGAACAGTGGCTGGGAGATGATTGTTCACCTTGAATAAATTACAAGGAACAGTTTACTTACTGCATCTATTCCTGGTAAACACCCGAGGACATTTGCAGCTTGAACAATACTTGGGAACCACTCGTTGCGGTTCCAATATCCATTCGGGCTACCGGATAGCTGGCCTATTCGGAATATGGAGACCGAGAGTCCCTGATCAGCGGCTTCCGCCAGAATTTGTTCTGCTGTCCATTTAGACTCCGCGTAACCCAGACCAACGGCTACCTCGGGATTGGGCAGGGCAATCTCGGGGACAGGTGAGCCTCCTGACCAATCTGCAAAGGTAAGAGGTGAGTCGAGTGGCATGCACAGGACAAAGTAGAATATACTTTTTAAGACGCTCACGCTAGACGTGAATATGAAACGGGGGCTCCACTCAGAGGTAGTGTATCGAGCGAAGTTAACCATATTTTGTAGTCCTTCAAGAGAACGCACATACGACGCAAGGGTGTAGTTGAAGTTCACTGGCCACGCTACAGGACCACAAGAACATGATCAGCCACTCGGACCAGTACGCACCTGACAACGCCTACCAGTGTGAATGATAAGATCAACGGAGTTCTGGAGCTGCAGAGCGCCAGAGGCTTCTATCAAGAAAAGCTCGTCAATTAAAGTGACAAGTTCACTTACCTCCTGAAAGAGGCTCGGCTCCAGGCCAAAATTATCTGACGCAAGGTCTGAGGGAATTAGAACCACCTTTCCATCTCGAAGTATCTCAGGAGTTATCCCCCGAATCTTTAGCGCATTCTCCTGTCTGCAACGCAAGCTGTCCAGATCATCCGGATCGCCACGATTCAAGGCGTAGATACGTCTGACATCTTTGCATTGGTGGAGGTAGTAAAGAATGTGCGAGCCAAGTGATCCAGTTGTCCCCGTAAGCAAGACAACCTCGCTGCTTCGAGCAGGTAGCTTGAACGGCACACCTGCCCCTTGCCCCTCGGTCATTTGTCGAACCAAGTCGGTCATTTCAGCCGTTTTGATACTTAGAGATACGGAAGGGTAGTCAGTTGTTCTTGAAACAAGAACATTTGCCATGGCTTGTGCGGTAGGGTGACGATATACGAAGTCCTGTGGTAATTGGACGACATGGTCCGTGCTATGGACATTTTGGAGTACGGAAGCAAGTATGCTTCTGATCCGCAGAGCCTTGAGACTACATTGGAATACATTAGTTATATCGATAGGCATTTCTGAAGATTTAACGTACCTATCACAACCTAGCCAGAAAACATCGGTATCGCATGGGACCGGACAGCGAAGAACGCATTGCAGGAGGTCTTGGGTCCAATTGACGACACTACCTAGGTCCCACTCAGACGGGCCCGCGATAGTATATGCCGAAGCCGATTCAAATTCAACGTATGCAGTATCGATCTCAGCCTGGTGAGCGGCAAGAATCGAATGTCGGCGGGGGGTTCCCTTGAGCGTATAGTCGAACGTCTTAGTAGAATTCGCAACCAAGATCATCTGCGAAATGTGAGCTCGTGGACGCCATGTTCAAATGCACTTACCTCTTCATAAATTCTAGAATGTGCAGGGGCGAAGGCGTTTGCTTCTTCCAAGAGTGCTCTGCGGATGCTCAGTATACCAACAAATCAGGTTGATGGTACTTCGCCCTTACGATATGGAGGTACGGAAGGCAGCAAGAAGCTCTTTGTTGGAACTATCAAAACGATATGGTCGCGCTAACTCTAAGATGATTCCGTTAAAGAGACGGCCCCGCCCGAACATTACCGCAGATAATATCCTAGGATCTTTGCAGAAAATATACTCTAAGGTAACCTATCAGTCTTTCAAGAATCCAGTTGGGCGAGTTACTTGCCTATTGGACCCGGGTTTGTCTTTAAATAATATCTGAGTTCGTACCACGTGCTATGTATCCCGTGAACATACTTTTTCGCCAGTAGATA